AGTAAACTTTCTCTTGCCACTCATGCACACACCCACACAGATCCCAAACAGCTGGGTAAATCTTGATCTCTGTCATGGTGACAGCAGGCAGGGGGCTGAGGGCTTAGTGTGGGCCCAGCAAGGTGCTCCACCAGGGGGCAGAGACCACCCGTCACCCCTGGAGCAATCAGTCAGAGCAGAGTCAAATCACCGAAGATCTTTGTTGCCGCAGATGTAACATAACAGGCTGGGCCTTTTTTAGTTTTGACTCTTCTGTAAATTTTTTTTCTTAAATAAAAGTAATTTCAATTTGCTGTGTAAACATGACATGTCACACTCCTACCCTCTTTTGTCCTAAGCTGGAGTGCTAAAAGTAATCAGCCCCAAAGTAACACCTTACATCAAGGGAAAACAGGGACTGACTGGGGTCGGCGGACGGTGGTGGTAAAGTATGTTCTAGTTAAGTAATTACCCACAACTGGACTCAGACCCCCACCTCAGCTCAGGTTTTGCTAAGCTGATAGGCTGAACCAGCATGAGTCCTCACAGTTAAGCAGGTGTGGGGAGAAGAAAGAGGGAAAGGCGGTGAATGACGAAAAAGAAACAAGAAAAAAAAAAGAGAGTCTGAGCACCTGTTTTGGGCTGCCATGCCTTCCTTTCTGTGGGCCAGGGCTTGCACTGCCCCGCCCAAAACAACACATTCAGGTCTCACTGCCTGTTCAGCTATGTGAAGAAGTGCTGGGTCAATTTACAGAGGTTAGAGGTAAACAGGAATGAGGAAAAAAAGTCGGGATGGACTAGTAATTATGGTCGGTGATTACAGATGGTTAAGGCAGCAAATCAAAGTGAACTGCAGGCTTACAGAGATTCTCATTTGGCCTCATTTCAAAGCAACATGATCCAAATAATATGTGTCCAAAACGCAGGTGTAGCTGTCAGAAAAAAAAAACATTCAAAATTCTGATTACAGAAGCAAACGGCAGCATCATGTCTTCCCAGCGTGTAATTTTAGATACCATGCCAGCGTCATGGAAATAAAAGAGGTATGATGGGCGTTACATGCAACACAACAGTGTCGGCTTTCAAAACAATACCAATTGTGAAACACTGCATTAACGATCATTTTCTGTCCCTGTTATATGGCGGCTGATCTCAGCCTTGGTTCTGAAGGTAAGAAGCTCACTGTTATGCCTAACTTGAGGACATTTTGAACTGCTGTTCTTCTTCTTTGAGTTAGCTGCTAACTGCTTCTAGCTACTATTTAAATCTCCCTGGGGTGGGTCGCACACACAACACGGTCGACATGTAACACCCATCTTGTCCTGCCTCCCTTTTAGTATGCATGTGTTAAGTTTTATATTATTTTGTTCACTATGCAGGAATGGACAAAGCGAACACGAGGAGCTGTCGCTGCTTTAACTATGTCAGAGTTCTTGTTACATTACTCTCCAAACCTGAACACAGCCTGATCATCTGATCTGCAAGGGACCACAGTAACAAGCATCGCGGGGGTCTGGCGGTTCTCTGGTACATCTTCTTGAAGCTCCCACCTCAACTCTAACACACACACACACATACGCTATAACAGCATGCCTACAGAGCTCACTGTGGCTCATTAACCTCCCGGTGGGGGGGAGGTGGGGGTCAGGGGCATCAAAGTGGCAGGATCACTGCAGACTCAGCCAGCAATCCTACCATGGGGGTCTGGAGCCGCAGCGTCTCACCCCCTAATGAGAGGCCATGACATGCACACATCCACACACAGTTTGACCCCTCAGGACCAGCTGGAAAAGAGAGTCTGACATGCCTGTCCCAACCCTCCTCCTCCTCCCCCTCCACCTCCTCCATTCCTCTCCCAAACTCCACAAATTCCAGCCACAGAGCAGCAGCTCACAGTCACCACTGGCTGCCAAAATATACCTAAAAACCCAGAGGGGGAACCTCAGCGAGGGGGAGAAAGGTGGAGAAAAAGGAATGTCTTTAAAGTCAGGAGCACGCTACATGATTTAATAATGATAAATAACAATCAATATCACTGAATCAAAAATCAGCAACATGTCGTCGGCCTATGAAGTGTCAGAAAACAATAAAAAAATGCTTGTTTTGATTTCCTAAAGCCCGAGTTATGCCTGTAAATAGTTGTTAATCAACAATCCAAAACCCCCGAAATATCAGTCAACCATCACAATGTTGATATGTTAGATTTAAAGGTCCAGTGTGTAGGATTTAGGGGATATATTGGCTGATTTTTTTTTTCTTCAGTGTGAAATCACCTGAAAATAAGAACTGCCATGTTTTTGTTACCTTAGAAAGAGCCATTTATATCTACATAGGGAGCATGTCTTCATCCATGGAGTCCGCCATGTTGCAATCCTTAACTCTTGCCATTAAGTCCTACATACAGCCCCTTAAATGTCCATACTAAACTCAATTAAAGGTCGTCTTACATTTGTTATTGAGTTCTGTAGTGTATTTTGGTGATAAAGACTATGAAGGCAAACAGGAAGCTGAAATTCCAGCAACTTCTTGAAACAAAAAATGGGATTTATTTTAGCTTTTGTGAGGTCTCATTAACAAAAAGAAAAAACTAAACAGAAACATGCCTCTCTGTCAGTCAACACAAGTGATGGGAAGAGACAAACACACTCAGAGGCATGTGGGAGGGAGAGGGTGTGTGTCAGGAGAGAGAGAAGGAAACAGAGGGAGGGAGGGCTTTGGGATCGCTTTTTTGTCAGAAAGGCAAGTGCAGCAGCGGGGTGAAGGAGGGGTGCAGGGTCTAGGGAAGAGGCACCTTGCAACAGCTGGTCTCAATTATCCGTGGAGGGGCGGCTGAGTGTACAGGAGCATGTGTGTTTGCAAGTGTGTGTGTGTGTGTGTGTGTGTGTGTGTGTGTAAGGTTGAGGCATGGCAGGGGGAGAGCTGAGACCACTGGCGCCAGGAGGGGAGCAACAGGTCAGGGAGGATGAAGATTATAAAAATACTAGCAGGCAGTTGGCCTTGGTCCTGCCGGTGCACAGAGTGTGTGTGGTGGATATTCCTTGCCTGCCACAGTGCCACAGGATGTGGAAAAGAGTGTGTGTGTGTGTGTGCGTGTGTGCCCACAGTACATCAGGGCGGTGTGTTTCTGCATACATCCTGTGAGATAACCTTCCTGGTTGAATAACACGGGCTCATCCCATGTTTTTATCAATCAATCGTGCAGTAAACTGAATATCTTATTGAATATCTTAGATTTTTTTTAAGAAGATCGATCAGTCATGTAATATCGAAGCTACAGATCACATAAGGGCCCCAGTCGGCCGGTAGGTTCAAGCCCGGAACCCTCTTGCTGTGAGGCGACAGTGCTAACCACTGCACCACTGTGCCGCCCAATACAGACTTTTTTTTTCCCATAATGAGTTGAGTATAATGTGAAATGAATGAAAAATGAAACGTACAGAATGCTACTTATGTGCAGTGTCAGCACTGCTTTGTTTAAGATAATGTTCAGTGGCCAAATTTCAAATTTTCAAAAGCATCAATGAGTTTTGTAAATTTTATATATGATTATTCTGGTGTTAAAATGCCTTTACATTTGAAGAAGAGCACATTATGACTGGTTTAGGGTTGAAAACTCAAAGTTGTAGGACTTGGGACATGAGTGCAAAGACTTGAGATTCACTTGTGACTTGCAAAACAATAACTCGGTCCTACTAGCACTGATATTCAGTGGTTCAAGTTCTTCATAATGAAATTAATGAAGAAATTAGTGGAACAAGTTCACATTCAAATAAATATTAAATACTTTATGTTATGACAAGCATGTCCTACAATCTTGTAGTTTGGTTAAGGGATATTCATACTAAAATATTATCAATTATCTTGAAAATAGTTGAGCTGAGTCTTAATTCCTGGGCCATGTACGTGAGTGTGTGACGCCCTCTAGTGTTAAAGACATGTTATTACAACAGGAAAGAGCAAAAGAGAGTGGCCTCATTTGTCATTTACAGCTGCTGCAGAAACACAACTAAACTTTTCACTGTCATTTTAATAACAATAATAATAATAATGATAATAAAAAGCAATCATAACCTCCTTGCCAGGCACGGCACCAGGAGTGCAGAGGAGGAATTTTGGATGGGATGAAGTCCTTTTGTGTGGGCCTTTAATTTACAGAAGATAATACTATTTTCCTAGTTTTCCTCTTGTAGTCTCGCTAACACAGAAATGATTGAGATTGTGTTGTGCAATGCGACTAGAGCATCTGGTTTATTATGACACGTTTAAAATATTTAGCCAAGAACTCTATGTCAATACATACTATATATAGGCTACAGTGTGAACAGAAAGAGGGCTGAGGCCCCATCAGACCGAGTCCCTTTTCTGTTGGTCCACTTTTTGGTGCAGTTCAGTTCAGTTCATTTAAAAAGGACTAAATGTAGTATGTATTTAGTATTGTACTTAGCCTTTTGGATCACATCCAATTGCACTGGGAGACCTGAATAAACAGACAAGACCACATCGGCCTGTAATGCTTGCAAGGACGAAGGACACGGAGTAGTTTGGTCCACGGAAGATACTGCAGGTCTCCATATGTTGAATGTAGAATACATGAAATGGTAGCAGTCTACAGCACAGATAAGGTTTTCCTCTAATTTTAAGATAATCTGAAAGTGAGGGGCTTCATAACCACACTGCAGTGCCACATCAAAGCAAACAAAACTATAACAATATATATCATATACAGGCTGTAGTGTGAACAGAGAGAGGACTGAGGCCCCATCAGAGCTGAACAGAACTGAGTCCTCTGAGTCCCTTTTCTGTTGGTCCACTATTTGGACAGAGTTCAGTTTCAGTTTCAGTTCAGGACTACATGTGAAACACCCTTAACTTCATTTACCGTAAAGATCAGAATATGGGGGCAGTCATAGTTTTTTCCGCGGAAGTGCGACTCTAACTTCTATTTCGTCGTCTTACAAACAGAAAGCAAGAAGTCAGACTACGTGACCTGACGTCGTAGACTGCAAGTAAATAACAGCTGGTGTGAACTTGGCTCCGCGTGTCGGCCACAAATGTTCAGATCATGGATACATTATTAGGAGTGAACGGGTGTAAAGATCCTGGCCAATGACAAGGTAGGTCAATGGGCGAGATGGGCTGAAGGCGTGTATGGCAAACTTTGCTCTACATAGGTCATTGAAATGTATGGGCAGATGCTTTAGGAATGAGACGTTAAACCAGTATTGTAATGTGATATATGTAAGGCGTAAAACAAATCACACTGTAACCTGTACAACTCCACACTTTAAAGGTGACATTTTATAGCCTGTCTTTATTAATAAATTACTGGTAATGGGAACGTTAATCAACGTGGGTGACATCATCTAGGCACATAGCTGGTTTCAGGGTTTAAGCTGCATTTTTAAAGTGACTATCTCGAATAGAATAAAGTTCTAACATGCCATTAAAGGATAGTTCCACATTGTTCTAGTCTGTGTTGATAAAAGGCTCAGATGCCTCTTGTCAGTCAGAGCTGTTCCTATTGTCCATACCAGAAGCATCACTGATGGGGGACAAAATCCACAGTCCTCACTGCGTGTTGAAATATGTCTTAATTTCAGCCACAGTTAATATGAGGCTTTTAGGATGAAATTCCCTCTGTGGTTCCACATAGAGCAATTCCTTGCTGTGCTGCAGTGGAGTGACAGTAACACAAAATGCTTTAGGAAGGGATCTCAATATTATTTCAAGATTAACTTAAACTAGTCCATTCCCATTGGTAAAGTAAAGTTTTTCTGTTGTTATAGCGTCACCCAGTTGCCAATTAGAGTTAAATTTCTCCAGTCACCTTGAGCCATCCTGTTCTACATATCTACCAAGTTTAGTAAAAATCCATTTGGCGGTTAGGCCTAGATAAGAAATGAGCTCTCTAGCGCCCCCATTTTGTTTGATGGGGTCAATAATGGAGGGCTCCCCTCAGATTATGTGTGGTCATATGCCTACAAAGTTGCGTGGTGATCAGGGAAACCCTTGAGATGTTATACACCTTTATGTGATGAGCCACGCTCTCCACAATATTCATTGCCTTATAGAAGCTCAGTTTTAGTAAGTTTTCCAACTTTTGCCAGGAGGGAACTTTAGATATTGGTCCCTAGATTATGTTCACCGAGTTTCATGCAGATAGCTCAAACTTCCTAGGAAGAGATCGATTTTAAGTGTTTTTCAAAAAATTCAAAATGGCGGAAAATCTATATAACTGGAAGTTATGGGTTCTTGAGGCAAATTTGTCCGTCGTGAGGAGAGGCATCTCTGTGCAAAGTTTCATGTCTCTACGACATACGGAGCATGAGATATGCCCATTCAAAGTTTGCAATTTCAATCAGTTGCTATAGCGCCCCCCTTTGGCCAATTGATGTAATATTGCTTCATTCGCATCCTCCCATGACCCTCTACCACTGTGCCAAATTTCACATGGATTGACCAAGTCAGTGAGGAGAAAAACATGGAACAAACACACAGACACACCCACAGACACACAGTTTTAGTCATTATATAGTAAGAAAAAGTGGAACCATCCTTTAACTGTGTACCTGCATGAAAACCTGATCAGAGTCGGGATAGTTAGTATTATTCAGCTAACTATATGTCACACACACAGACACACAGACACACACACACACACACACACACAAGAGTTTACTTCCTATATAATAAAGACACAGACCTCTGGAGATTTAACTGGCTGGTGACGACAGCTGTGGATGTAAATCTGGTCAGTCAGGTCGCAGAGGATGCTTAGGTCAGTGGGAGGTGAAGTAAACTATGTGGATCAACAACAACCTCATAAAATACAGTAAGACTGCTCCCAAGCTTATGTATGCGAAGTTTAGGCAATTTGGGTAATCATGCATCCTGTTGTGAGTCACACTGATTTCAATGTCTGACGTCTTGTGTTACTGACTTCCCTGTTAGACCAAATATGAGTGCTTTCGGGAAGGACGAAGGGCTCAAAGCAGAATCTTCCAGCTGTCTGTCTCTGAAGAGTGACCATTCCAAAGATATTCCTCTCGCCTTCGGTAATGAACCTGGACTATTCGACGTAGAGTAAGAGCTCTCTTTATTCTTAACATTTTCTGTCATTTCACCCTTTAGAAGAAAATAATGTGTCATGCCCCACCCACCTTTAAATACATTATTGAGATATACAACAATGAATAATGAAACAAGCCAAGTTGCAGTTGAAAAAAAAACATTTCAAGAACATGTGCTGCATGTCTACCTCAAAATGAACGCTGTAGTGCAAATGAAAAGACCAACTGAAAACACTGAGCGTCCAGTGTGTAGGAGTTAGGGGCATCTATTGGCAGAAATTGTATGTAACATTCATAATTATTTTCTCATTCTTTTGTCATCACCTAAAAATAAGGATCATTGTTTTTGTTATCTTAGAATGAGCCGTTTGATAACTACACACAGGGCCGTTCCTCTTCCATGTTGTTTCCAAAGTAGCCTAGGACGAATGAACCAGACACTGACTCTAGATAGGGCCATTCACATTTTTGCATTTTTGTGTTGGCGATTATAGTTCTCCTACACGCTTGGCACATGGGAGAAGTTTCAGTTCTGCAACCTCACTGCTAGGTGCCATTAAATCCTAGTGCTAATCCTAGATTTAATCCTGGTACCTAACAGCAGTCAGGGTGCTGTTGGCTATGACATGGAGGTCTGTGTGACCTTCTAAGGATATGCCTCCCCAGACCATCACTGACCCACCACCAAACCAGTCATGCTGGAGGTCAGTGGTGACAGGGACACTAGCAGAACACAAAACTAGTGAAGAATCAGTCAGGAAGAAGTAGGAGAGAGCAACTGTGTGTGGCCACTGTTACGGCCTCCATACAAGCAGCGTCTTCCCCTAAACTACCTAAAACATGATTTAAACCTAAAGAAAACAAGAGAGACGATTAACGTAACTACCGGCAGTCTCCAGCCAAAACTAACACAACAAACTAAAACAACAAAACCCCAGCACCTAAATGTGCATGAGGGGAAAAGAACCTGCTTGGAGAGAGAAAAAACAACGGAGGAAGAAAAAGCCTCTTCACTACCTAAGCAGTTGTCTGTGTGCCATGCCTTCCTGTCTCTACACTCCCTGTCCCTCTTATCACCTTCTCCTCTCTACCTAAGTGCAGATTGCACTCAGGTGCGCAGCAGGCAGAGGGAGGAGGGAGACCAGGCTGACACAGAGAGAGAGAGAGAACAGGCTGCTGCACATAACACCTTTTTACAAGACTCACAACTGAAACACTGCTTAAAAAGTAAAATCAACACATCAAACAATAGCCTGGACTCACTGCACTGTTCTATCAAATCAAATGTATAACCTCTCAGAAAAAAGTATTCGCAAAATTGTACAAACTTTTACTTAAAACAGATAACATCCTCCCACGACTATCCAAGACTGGGAAAGAGATTTAACAGTTACCATAAACACCAACTCCTGGACGCACATCTGCAGCAATACCTTCTCAATGTCAAATAACCCCAAACTGCAACTTAGCCAATATAAAATTCTACATAGAGTGCACCTCACACAATATAAATTACACAAAATGGGACCCAAAGATAATAAAAAATGTACACACTGCACATTAAACACTACAGATAATTACATTTGTGCCATCTGGCTCTGCCCACGACCCAATCATTCTGGACAAATATCACATATACATTATTAGTGTATTCTTAGTGTGATGTACTGTATATTGATTGCTATTATATTTATTAATATTATTATTCTATTCACTATAATTGTGATGATGACATTCCTAGTGTGAAAGAGATGGGGTGTGGGGCTGGACTGGGTTGGCTGCTCTCGGGTGGCGTGTCGGGGCCTCTGGTGGGGTTGCTCGCCTCTCCGGTTTCCTGGTCTGGCCCCAACCCTCATCGCCACAGGTCATTATCATAATGTTATATTGTGCTATGTTATATTATATTATGTTATACTATTATGTTATATTATGCTGTGTATTATGTTATAATATATATTTTTTATATTATTTTATACTGTTTCATATTATGTTGTTCTATATTATGTTACATCATGCTGTGTCATATAAATATTAGGTTACATACACAATTACAATACTGCATTACCATTTTTTTTAAGACTATCATAACTCCAGTGCCTAACAATTTATTTATTTAGTTTGTTTTTTATTTATTTACTTATCTCTCTCTCCCCCATCATACACACCATACCCCACCCTGTGTAATCCACTAAACATGGACATCTACCCCTCATTCAAATATTGAAACATGCCCCATGCTTACGACAACCTAATTACCTCCACCAAGGAGGTTATGTTTTTGCCGGCGTTTGTCTGTTTGTCTGTTTGTTTGTTTGTTTGTCTGCAAAATAACTCAAAAAGTTATGAAGGGATTTTGATGAAATTTTCAGGAAAGGTGGATAATGGGACAATGAACAGAAAATTTTGGTGATCGGTTGAAGCAAAGTGGATAAAATAATAAATAAAATCTATCATCTGACAGCCTCAGCAGCAATTCCAATTTCTAAAGACGGCGAAAATAGCGCCATCTGGTGGCCGGAAAACACGTCTAGTTCTACTTGCTAAATATTGTTGTAATACTAAAGTTGAAATTAATGTTCTGTGTTGGAAAAAAAGAAAGTGAAAAATAAAAAAATACACCGTCTTTAGGTTTCTGAAGGGTGGATAATTTCATTCGTGGTTTTTTATTTTTCCAATAGAATTTGGTTATGACAGAATCTATTGTGTTAAACCAGTGTGATGGAGGATGGACTGGAGTCATAGAAAAAAGGTAGTTTATTTTGGGCAGTATGGTCATTTTTATTGATGCTATTCTTTCGGTTAATGAGATGTTGTTCCAGCAAGTAAGGTCTTCTACAATGCTTTTTTTGTAATGGTATGTAGTTTAGAGAGAATAGCTCTGACAGCTCAGTGGAAACATTGATACCAAGGTATTTAATGTTGCCTGTTTTCATTGTCTTCAGGGAGATTTTTTTGGATGCAGCATTCCAGTCCCTTTCACAGAGTGGGAGAATTTTAGATTTTGACCAATTTATGGAGTAGTCAGAAATCTTTGAGAATGTGGAAACGAGATTGAAGACTTCCAGGAGGGTTGTTGAGGGGTTTGTTAAGTACAGCAGGATATCGTCTGCATATAAACTAACCTTTGGTGAAAGTGATTTGTTTGTATACCAGTAATGTAAGTATTTGACGAATGGCGGCTGCAAGAGAATCAGTGAATATTGAGAACAGTAACGGAGAGAGCGGACATCCTTGTCTTGTGCCCCGTTGTAGTAAAAAGCATTGTGAGATAATATTGTTGGTTATGACTGAAGCAGATGGAGAATTATAGAGAGTTTTAATCCAGTGAGTGAACGATTCCCCAAAACCAAACTTCTCAATGGTGGTAAATAGAAATGTCCAGTTGACTTTGTAGATGGCCTTTTCTGCATCCAATGATGTGATTATGGTGTTGAGTTGATTTCTCTGGGATAGACTGATGAGGCTGAATAAACAACGCATATTGGTGGATGAGTGTCTGCCTTTTATGAATCCTGTTTGGTCTGGATGAATTATTGTGGGTATGTTTCTAATCTGTTGGCTAATGCTTTGCTTATTATTTTTAAGTCACAGTTGATCAGGCTTATTGGTTTGTAGCTGGAGGTGAGAGTTGGATCTTTGTCAGGTTTGAGCAGAACAGAGATAAGAGCTGAGTTCATGTGTGTGGGTATGGTTTCTGATGATTTGATTTCATTGACCATTCTGTTAAAAAGGGGAGATATGAGTTGCCAGTGGTGTTTATAAAATTCTATTGGATAGCCGTCTGAACCTGGTGATTTGTTGTTTGGCATGGAGAAAATGGCTTTTCTGAGTTCTTCTGAGTTTAAGGGTTGGGTCTAATATGGTTGCTTGTTCTTCTGTTACTTTTGGCAGTGCAATATTGTTGAGGAAGGAGTGGATGTGTGAAATATTTGTTACATTGTCTGATAGGGCTGGGTGATATGACCAAAAGCTCATATCCCGATAAAGGTCATTTCATATCCCGTTACGATACCTATCCCCATATAGCACATTTTAATCCAATGAATAAAAAGTCTATAAATAAAGAGTTTTCATTATGTTAAATATAAAATAATTCAGTCTTGTTCTTTGCATGAGAAACTGGGTCTGTTGATGTATTATGTTATCCAGTTGTATTTTAACTTTCTGTATTTCATTTTGAGTATGTTCAGTGGGGTTGCAGAATTGTTGAGAGTGATGATGTTTCAGTTTATGTTCCAGTTGTTGATTTTCTGGTTCCAGGGATACGTTTTTATTGGCAGACTGCCTGGTTAGCAGGATTTGGTAATCTTGAAACATCTTTATCTGGATCAGGGTGATCCAATCCAATGTTTAAAAACTGGCACCAAAAGTAAGATGGATGAGCTGATCCTGGACAGCTTAACATAGAATTTCCAAATCTAGGTCAAAATTTTGAACAACTGGGCCCAGATGACTGAGAGTCAGGTAATGGAGACTGTTGGGAAGGCCTTAGGGCATCTAGTGGACAGGTAGAGAATGACAATAGGCCTATTTCACAGAGGACATTTTTGGTTCATCCCAGTGCCTGATCTCGCATCCATGTTTCTCTCACTTGTGTCTCTTCCTCACGTCTTAGCTCCCTTGTAAGACACGGTGGAGAGATGAGATGATGAGACGCAAGGAGATAAGAAACAAAGAGAAATGAGATTTTCCTCTGAGAGAAGAGAAGAAGAGAATTTCCTCTGAAGCGTCATGTGAGGCGACATGTTTGCTGAAATTAATTCCAGCTAAATTCCATTTGTCTGCTTTAATTTTAAGATCCTGTGTTGTGCGTGCATGCATGCTCACTGTCACTCTCACTGAAACACCTGAATAGAACAGAGTGATTGTTAATGTTATAAGTAACACTTGTGCTTTTCCTACTATGACCAGTCAAAATGACTGGAGTGAAAAAGGCCTGAGGAAGTGAGAATGTGGCTGAAAGGGACAGAGAAGCAGAAAGGGCAAATATTTCACAGCTGCAGCAAATTTGATAAAGGCCTGACACAGACTGTCGCTCAACTCACAAATGCCCCCGGGCAGAACCTGAGACACACAACATTTAATGAAATGAACACAAGTTAAAATCATTTTCAATTAACATGCAACTAAAATTGGTCTCATATTAGTTATTGTATGTATGATATATTTTCATGGCAGCAAATAACTAGAGAAATCAATGACAGGAGTAGTAATTGTTTTCATTATCTTGATAGTGGCCAAGATGAACATAGAGTTTCTTTTAATAATGCTAAATTTTGCTCAGAACTATATCTAAAATGCAACCTCCTGCTTGCTGTCACTTTTTATGGCTTCCCTGAAAAACATTTCTGAATTTTGAAGTTCAGCTGTAAACCACTGACTAAGAACTGTCTGTGTTCAGGCACGCAAGGCTCAATCACAGCAGCGTGATTTGAATTGCTTTGGTGAAACATGTCTATACAGGCTGGCCATGAGTCTGGCTGTGAAAGTTTTAGTTGCTTGGTCAATTGGTAAACCAGCTGTAGGTGCAGTTTCCCTTTTGAACAGAATGTGGCAAAACATAATGAGTTTCTGCTTCATGATGTTGAATTGACTGGCTTGTTGGCCAGACATATCCATAAGTCAACATGATACATCTTTGAAGTAACTACAAGAGAAGTTTTCAGTCATTACTTATGAAATCAATGTTCTTATAGAGAGAAGTGAGCTTTACTTGCCGTGGGTGGGGTGTGTATGCCTCATTAATAAATCTAGACATGTCTTTACCAAGGGGGGAAATTCGGAAAAAACTGAGTCAGACTTGCATTTGCCAGCCATTGATTACGCAACTACATCTGGAGAACACCCTCCAGTGGAAAGAGTTGCCTTGTTTTTACAACAGTTATAATATAGTTTATAATAGTTATAAGTAATAATACAACAGGTTGGTGTATCCCTTCATCACTGCACTGACTTACAGTTCAAATACAATGTAGGACAGCACGGGTAGTGCGCATTGACACACACAAACACAACATACAACACACAAGCAAACTGAAGGGCAATGTCCCGTCTGTCTCTGTCCGTGATACAATTGTGTCTTGTCAGTAGAAAAGGCAGGAAGAGAGAAACAGAGCATTTTCAGCAGCGGTGCTGACGACTTAAATTTTTTTAATGCGCCAATGTTGCATCATACTGGAGATGGCCCTATGTATTTAGGGGAATCCCTGCTGTAAATACAATATTGCATCATTGTCTTTTAAACAGTTTTCATTAGCAATCTCAGTTTAAGCTCAAAATTAACACGTTACTAATATTGAAAGCTATAGCTATTGTATAACTTTACCATTATGGCTCTGACAAAAAAGAAAAGGCGTATGACAACACTCTCAAGACCTAACTGACAGAATAGGTCAATTTACACTGACTTCCAAAATGACATATATCACAGTAATAATTACTTTGGACACAAGAGGGCGCTGCTTTACAATAAACTTAAGTATGGGTTGTGATAAGCTGCTTGCACAGTCTACCTAAATAGCCATTTATTCAGGGAGAGCGGTCTGTGTATAATTGACCTTTTGCTAAGCCCCGCCCCTTTGTGATGGTCCAACAAGCTGTCAGAGTAAGCATGGAGCCCACACTGTAACTAACTGCACTCCCTAAAGACATATTATCATATTTTTGGACAAATGAAAGACTGATTCCAGAGAGAAGCAGACAGAGGGGTCTACAGTCTGTGTTTGAAGGATATATCCAGGATGTCAAACTGACTCAGCAGCAACAACAGGTTAAAAAGACGAAGATAGTTAGAAGCTAAAGCCGAACTATAGGCTACAGATCACAGTGTAAAAGTGAACCACCACATCGCTGCTGATTGCCACAGAAGACAATGAATATAAAGGGAAACTTTGCTGATATTGAACCAGCTGTGTGGCATCGCAGTGTGTGCAGATAACAGTGTTTGGCTTGCCCCCGTGCCAGCACCTGGACCTCCATCAGACAGGCAGGGACCTCCGGGGAAAGTCAAACGACGTTCATCTGCGCACAATGTGATGACACACAGCTGGTTGAATTTCGGCAAAGTTTCTCTGCTTCCATTCACTGGTTCCTGTGCAGCAGGGTCGGTCTTTTTTTCAGTGTCATAATCATTAAAAAGCAAAAGCAGCATGTTTGATTTTGGTTTTAGAACAGGGAAGAAACATATATCTTTTTCCAACCTCTCCAGGTAACGAGTATCATTAAAACATGACGTGCCCCAGACACAACATTTAGCTCCAAATCCACAAAACCAGCCTGAAAATGAAGGAAATCTGGAACGATTGCATTAGAGTCAATGGAGCACAGCTGTGTTGTTGTCGAACCCTGGTCTGATTGGCCAATTTGTGTTAGGGGGCAGGACTTAGCGAAGAGTCAATTGCTCAGTTTCTCCCTCCTGTCCCAAGACACACTGTTACTCCACTCCAAGGTAACCAGCTCCTGAAAGCATCCACAGGAATAACTGACCGATAATGTAGATGCGACTTTAAGTGCGCCACTGTCATTGCCATCTTCTTTGTATTTTCCAGGCACTACAATTACTGCAATCAGCTGATACTATATGTAGTAAGTGGATAATTAAAGAACTGAATCCACTCAGGTTATACTGAACACTGTTTTACACCTTCATCTTCACAGAGAGAAAACGACGAGCAGTGTTACTGAGGAACAGCTGCCATGTTGTGCTTTGTGCCAGGACGTCCTGAGGAATCCAAGGTCGACCCCCTGTGGACACTGCTTCTGCAGGGATTGCACTGACTCATACTGGGAGCAGTGTGAATCAGCAGGAGACCCTCCCTGTCCCCAGTGTGGAAAAAGATCCAGAAAAAGTCTTGAACCTCAAACACACAGTCAAAACAGCACGGAACCAAGTAACTAATCTACTGTTTTTAAAACTGTGTATTTGTCCAGAGACTTTAGGTGATAGACGTACCCTCACCTAAAAAAAAAAAGAGAGTACAACAGAAGCAGTCGATAAATAATTGTTAGCTTACTAATGAAGTAATAGACAAACCCATGTTACACCTTATGCTACCCAGTTCACACAAGGTAGCATAAATTACATTCAGTTTTTTTAAATAAAGCAGTCTATTGTAGGTGTCTTAAGGGATGTCCACAACAAGAACGATAACTACAACGAGGGCGTCAATCATAACAATGTGAGCATCCATTTTAGTAATGAGTGGATCTTCAAGCGTTTATACATATTAATTTCGACTGGGTTATGTGAACTGCATATATTGTAATCCTCACTCGTAGGAAAAAAAAGTGTTATGGAGCGTTGTTCCACTAAACCCCTAAACACTAAACCCCTGAGCTTGCCTTAGAAGGACTAAATACACAAACCTGCTATTTTTAAATATCCCATGGAGAGACTTTCACTGCAGCCTGTTCTATTTTGTTCTGAAAATGTCAGCGTGCAGCCTTGTTCTGTGGACGATAAAAGAGGTGCAGATTTCCCTGTGTCACCGGTAATGAGGAAATATTGTATACCACAAAAGCCCAGACTGTGTAACTACAGTAGATCAACAAAAAGTGTTTCCTAAATAATGTGACACCCAGAAAACTCAGTTACTTTTTGATCGGCTGTCACTGTCTCTATCGTTCATCAAATCGCTTGGAAAGTGATCCCAAGGACATGGTTCGCCAGTGTCATTGGCAATTTACTTATGTGGACTCCGCCATCCACTTGAGTTAGAACAATTTTAAAACTATAGTTATCTTTATAGCTATCGTTCTTGGCAGTGGTTTTGTGGTAGTTGATAAGTTGGGTGTTCTACTAGGTAGATGGGTAGGTTACCGAGGAGGAAGTGGGTACACTCACGTGATAGGTGTTTACTGTAAATGGCCAGGAAAAAGAGGTGGGTATACGCCATACAGCCCTTTACTTTTCGTCTCCAGTTAGTAGTGCCTACTTTCTCCCACTTGAACGATGCACTGGCGGACATCACTCTTTGGGGCAATGTTTTGATTACAGTTGACATAGTTTAGCTAAGGCATATAGAGAGAGTGCCACTGAAGAAAGTGGTGAGTTGAGTGTGAAACTAACCAGTCAATTTGTGGCAATTAGTGTTGACTTTACACTTAAAGTTATGACTGAACTGCTGATTCTTTTTTTGAGATACAGTATCTGTGTTTAACAGTATTTATTCTTTTTCTGCTTATCTCTCAGTTACTGGTAGTCTGCAGGAGGTTTTAGACTATCATAAGATCAGTCTCAGAAGAAGATGTGAATTTGCAATAGAAGGAACTGGTGAAGCAGGACCTCGATCCCGTCTGAACAGGATCTACACTGAGCTTTACATCACTGAGGGACAGTGTGAAGGAATTAATATCCAGCATGAAGTGTGGCAACTTGAGACAATACCCAAAGTGGAAACCCTGCGTGACACTCCAATCAAATGCCACGACATCTTTAAAGTCTTACCTGGCCAAAAGAGATTAATCAGAATAGTTCTTACCAATGGCATTGCCGGCATCGGAAAAACCTTCTCAGTGCAGAAGTTTACTCTTGACTGGGCTGAGGGCAAGGAAAATCAAGATGTCAGCGTTGTGATTCTGCTTACGTTCCGGGAGCTGAACTTGATCAAAGAGGAGCAGTACAGTCTTCTCAAGCTTCTTCATGACTTTGATCCAACACTACAGAATGTCACAGCAGAAAGGCTTGCTCTCTGTAAAGTTCTGTTAATCTTTGACGGCCTGGATGAAAGTAGACTTTTGCTGGATTTCCAGAACAACGAGGTTGTGTCCGAAGTCACACAGACATCATCGGTCAACTTGCTGTTGACAAACCTCATCAAGGGTAATCTGCTTCCCTCAGCTCTCCTTTGGATAACCTCCAGACCTGCAGCAGCCAATCAGATCCCTCCTTCATATGTTGATAGAATAACAGAAGTGCGAGGATTCACTGATGCTCAGAAGGAGGAGTACTTCAGGAGGAGATTCAATGATGATTCATTGTCTGGCAGAATCATCTCACACATCAAGGCATCCAGGAGCCTTTACATCATGTGTCACATCCCAGTGTTCTGTTGGATCACTGCTACAGTTCTGGAGCACATGTTGACTGCGGACCAAAAAGAGCTTCCCAAGACTCTGACCGAGATGTACGCACACTTTCTGCTGGTCCAGTCCAAGAGGAAGACACAGAAGTACAATAAGGGGCATGAGAGAATCCAACAAGAGCTGAGTGACGGAGAAGTCCTCTTGAAGTTGGGGAGACTTGCATTTGAGCATCTGGAAAAAGGGAGCATCATGTTCTACCAAGAAGACCTGGAACGATGTGGTCTTGGTGTGGAAGAAGCCTTAATTTTCTCAGGACTGTGCACAGAGATCTTCAAAAGAGAGCGTGTACTCTTTCAGAAAATGGTTTACTGCTTTGTTCATTTAAGTATTCAGGAGTTTCTCGCTGCTGTCTACATGGTCCATTGTTACCTGAACAAGAACATTGAAGTTCTGGCCACTTTCCTGGGAGAAGACTGGGATAAAAAAAGCAGTGATGTGGGTCTGGATGACTTCCTCAGTCGAGTTGTGGAGAAATCCCTCAACAGTGTAAATGGCCACCTGGACCTCTTTGTTCGCTTCCTTCACGGCCTGTTATTGGAGTCCAACCATTGTCTCCTTGGAGGTCTGCTTGGCTGGACAGCGAGCAGCCCAGAAGTAATCCAGAGAGCAATAAACAACTTGAAGAAAATGAATGCTTATGATATCTCTCCTGACAGAAGCATCAATGTCTTCCACTGTTTGATGGAGATGAAAGACCACTCGGTGCATCGGGAGATCCAAGAGTACCTGCAGTCAGACAACAGATCAGAGAAGAAGCTCACCAAGACCCATTGCTCAGCTCTTGCCTACATGCTGCAGATGTCGGAAGACGTTCTAGAGGTGTTGGATCTTAAGAAGTACAACTCATCAGGTGATGGACGACGGAGACTGCTCCCAGCTGTAAGAAACTGCAGAGAAGCTCGGTAAGTCCAGATGTGAATATCAGTCGTGTGAAGCTACCTTTATGCCTATTGCCATTTTTGTCACAGTGAAGATATTCAGGTTCTCATACATATGCAGTATACATTTTTTAATGACTTAATATATTGACTTTAACAGTGGCTCACTTTAAGTTTAGATCATAAAATTTGTCATATTGTACCGAGGCAGTAACTTCTAAAAAGAACATTTAATTGAAGCCGTTTTTCAACAACACTCATGCCATAGAACCACAGCAAAACTCACCTCAAAGATTTTCAGATGAGTTTAGCGGTGAAAATGAGCTCTATCGCTTATGGAAATAAGGAATTCCGGATGGCATTCTGTCAGAAGACTCCACTCACAAATACCCGCATGGGACTGAGCTCGAAATGCAACGATGCCGGTGTGTATTTCCAAAGCGCTGTCAATCACAAAGGGGTTCAGCCTTTTAGACAATTCCTCCAATCATCATGCATACACAGAGCGTCCTCTCCCGCCTACCGCTCCATTAGGTCCCAGGGAAGCTGAGCCTCCCTGGAAGTGACGATTTTGTCGCATTTATCCAATGATTTAAAACAAACCTCACGGACTGCATTTTTTCATCTGCGTAATATTGCGAAAATTAGGCCTATCCTGACCCAAAAAGATGCAGAAAAATTGGTCCACGCTTTTGTTACCTCTAGGCTGGATTACTGTAACTCTCTATTATCAGGTAGCTCTAGTAAGTCCTTAAAAACTCTCCAGCTAATTCAGAATGCAGCAGCACGTGTACCAACAGGAACTAAGAAACAAGATCATATTTCTCCTGTTTTAACTTCTCTGCACTGGCTCCCTGTAAAATCCAGAATTTAATTTAAAATCCTACTGTTAACTTATAAAGCTCTAAATGGTCAAGCTCCATCATATCTTAGAGAGCTCATAGTGCCATATTTCCCACCAGAACACTGCGCTCTGAGAACGCAGGGTTACTCGTGGTCCCTAAAGTCTCCAAAAGTAGATCAGGAGCCAGAGCCTTCAGCTATCAGGCTCCTCTCCTGTGGAATCATCTTCCTGTTACGGTCCGGGAGGCAGGCACCGTCTCCACATTTAAGACTAGACTTAAGACTTTCCTCTTTGATAAAGCTTATAGTTAGGGCCGGCTCAGGCTTGCCCTGTACCAGCCCCTAGTTAGGCTGACTTAGGCCTAGTCTGCCGGAGGACCCCCCTATAATACACCGGGCACCTTCTCTCCTTCTCTCTCGTATTCTATTACTGCATCTTGCTAACTCGGCCATTCTGGATGTCACTAACTCGGCTTCTTCTCCGGAGCCTTTGTGCTCCACTGTCTCTCAGATTAACTCATATCGCAGCGGTGCCTGGACAGCGTGACGTGTGTGGTTGTGCTGCTGTCGTGGTCCTGCCAGATGCCTCCTGCTGCTACTGACATCATTAGTCATTAGTCATACTTCTGCTGTTATTATACACATATGACTATTGTCACACATGTATACTGCCAGATATTAATACATACTTTCAACATATTGTACCACAGTATCCAGAACTATAACTATAATATTATTACTTTCAATAATGTTGTTGTAACCTACTGTCATTACCTGCATCTCTCTCTCTGTCTCTCTCTCTGTCTCTCTCTCTGTCTCATTGTGTCATGCGGATTACTGTTAATTTATTATGCTGATCTGTTCGGTACGACATCTATTGCACGTCTGTCCGTCCTGGAAGAGGGATCCCTCCTCAGTTGCTCTTCCTGAGGTTTCTACCGTTTTTTTTCCCTGTTAAAGGGGTTTTTTTGGGGGAGTTTTTCCTTATCCGCTGCGAGGGTCATAAGGACAGAGGGATGTTGTATGCTGTAAAGCCCTGTGAAGCAAATTGTGATTTGTGATATTGGGCTTTATAAATAAAATTGATTGATTGATTGATTGACCGTCTCCCTTTGCTGCATGAAAAAAACCTGCTCAGCACTGTCTCATAGGAATGCTTGGAGGCTCCACGTCCACCGTGCTGACACGAGAATGTATGCCAGGGAGGTCGCGTTTGAAAACTGGTGATAAACAGCTGACGTTGGAACATCATAGTCATGATGTTCAAACGCATCCTAGCGCAAGTTTAATGCAGTGTAAATTCTTATTTTATTGTAAATTCAATAGTGCATATTTGACCATTTCTTCTATGAAATTTTAGCGGAAGTTCAGCCTCCCTTGTTGTCTCAGAGCAATCGCTCCTGCTTTATAAACTCTGGGCGATATGGTTGAAAGCACCAAAGATGCCTTTTTATCCACATTTGGGCAAACTTTGCAACTCAGTAATGATTGGCCTCATACCTTAAAGACCACTCCCACAATTGACTGTGTTTATGGCTGTGTATATGGTTGTCTTAGAAGTAAACTGTAATCATTAGTATTTTTTCTACTAATTACAAATAGTAGTATTACTATTATGCATAGTAACACACATGCCTCTGCTGCTTGGGTTAATACTGACTTCACATGAAATATTTCAGACTCTCTGGCTGTGGACTCTCTGAAACACATTGTGAAGTTCTGTCCTCAGCTCTGATGTCCAACCCCTCCCACCTGCAAAAGCTGGACCTGAGTGAAAATGACTATCTGCTGGATACAGGAGTGAAGCTGTTGTCTGTTGGGCTGGGGAGTCCAAATTGTAGACTGGAGATTCTCAGGTCAGACAACATTCAGACATCTCTTTCTTCTTTACTTTTCTCTTCCTCCTCCTTATTTTTCCTTTGTTTTCAAGTACTCATTTACTCACATTGCATGTACGTAACTGTATTGCACTAACGCTCTCATAACAAGATGTGTTCATACATATGGATTTCTGCTTGCGACTACACAATATGGATTTTATGAATACATCTATATAAGGCTGATATTCATAAGTGCCTGTTGATTAGAGCAAAGCAATGCTGAGCTACAGATTTAGCTCCAAAGAGATCTGACCTAAATGTGTGTTTTAATTATGTCCTTTTCCATATTGCTTAGGTTGAAGAACTGCAGTTTGTCAGAAAGTTGTTGTGATTCCCTGGCATCGGCACTGAAGTCCACCTCTTCTCACCTGAGAGAGCTGGACCTAAGTAACAACAACTATCTAAAGGATTCGGGGGTGAAGCTACTGTGCACTGGACTGGAGAGTCCGCACTGCAGACTGGAGACTCTGAGGTCAGACAGCATTATATTAACTTTGTGCAACGATTAATTTTGTACGATCACCATTGCTATATTCGGGGGGTGGGTGGGTGGGATGGGGGGGACACCGAATTATGGGCCCAATTTGATTTCTCTGTGGTGTCCCTGCCTTGGAATAACACTGTAACACTAAATTTTTCTTTTAAACAGAAAACATCCTAAGTACTAGTACCGTTTTTAAACTGGCACATGGCTGAGGTGTTTGGAGTTGAGCATGCGAGTTATTATAAGTTCATTTTTAAATCATCTACAGCTCTAATTAATGAATAAAAGGTGAAATTATATCCAAACATTTTTCCTTCAATAGCAAAATTCTCTATTCTTCATCTTGATCTAGTTTAAGTTGCTGCAGGCTGTCAGAGAGCTGCTGTGCCCATTTGGCCTCAGCTTTGAAGACCAACCCCTCCCACATGACAGAGCTCGACCTGAGTAAAAACAAAGTGAAGGATTTAGGGGTAAATCTGCTGTGTGCTGCACTGGAGAGTCCTTGGTGTAGACTGAAGTATCTGCGGTGAGTTCACTTATTATATCACGTCTTTAATGAGGAAAACATCTGTTCTTACAGCAGATGGTAACTGGAAGATGTTGCAATTAATGAAAGGACAGCACAAGTTCTATTTCGTTTTGTCTAACAGGCTCTATAGGCTACCACACTGTTGCTGTGCAGTGCAATAAATTTGTATTGTACTTTTGGTTAAAGTAGTAGTACAAGAAAATAGTAGTTACCAACCTCCAGCTGCTCAGTTCTGCAGACTGTTACAGCCATTCTATATTCTTCCTTCAACACCAGCAATTTCTCCTCCACCTCCTCCTACACTGGAGCATCACCATAGGTGGGTACAGAGTGCTGGTATATTACAAATTTTGCTTGCCTAAAAATTGTGTCTAGTCATCTTATTACTAGTGGGGTAAGATCACCGTTTGTAAGGGCAACACTAGAGGGGGCTGATGAGCAGCTCCTGACCAGTTGATGTAAAATTTAGGGTGCTTTCAGACCTAGAATTTGCTTGCTTTGGTCTGAATCAGGGACTAGTTTTGTTACATAGTTGCACAATTGCCTAGAGTTGGTTTGTGTTCTCACGATAAAATGCCTTGTGCGAGAAAGCTGTTCTTGATTGGTCAGAATTTCCATGTGGTAAAAATCCAGGAAGTAAACAAAACATTGAGGAAGAGTACACTTGCAAGATAAATGTGACACTTTCTAATGTCACAATGGAGGGACAACTACGCAGGTTGATTTTAGCGCTGGTCATCGTGGACTATATTGCTGTCATTGTTCGTTTTAGTTAAACCATACAGTTTGAAAACGAGGCGCGGCTCCAACTAGAAAACAATGTTCTGATGCATTGGATGTGCTGAATGTGCATATTAAGGCAGTACAGGAGGAGGTGCACATTAATAATCCTCCAGGACTGTAACATGCTCATGTTAAACCCAAACAATACATGACTACGACGGGACTACAACGGGTCACGCGCTGGTGACATCATAGGTGATAGAAACATGGGATTTTGACTGGCGCAAATTCAAAATCAGAGCTCTTCACACACATTAAGTGTAAATAAAACAAATCAGTTGAGTCTTTCCCTTTCGGATGAAATGACCAGTCAGGCTACATGCTATGGAGAGAGTTTAAGAGGTCCTGATCGCCTTCGGTATGACGAGAAAGTGAAAATGATAGGTGTGTGCCCTTTTCAGCTGCCAGCCTCTGTGTGGACGAATGTCCTGTCAATTAATTCATTCAATTCATATCCTGTCGATTCATTACTCAACATTCATTAGAATTAACTTCTTGGCTTTGAATAGCTCATGAACAACGCAGCAACTTTTCGGCATTATGAACTCCCAGCGAGAGTTTGACTGAACAGAACCAAACAGGGTGGTGTGGTGCTACTCAGGAGTGAATTGTAGAGCCTGTTAGAGAGGACTCATGGACTTAGGCGTACAAACAAATGTTTTAATTTTGTTCAGCATATCAAGTCTAATGTTAATCCTACAATTACAGGCTTGATAGATGTGGTCTCACGGAGAACTGCTGTACATCTTTGGCCTCAGCCATGGCCAAGTCCAACCCCTCCAGCCTGAGAGAGTTGGAACTGAGTAGCAACGATCTGCAGGATTCAGGAGTGAAGCTGTTGTGTGTTGGACTGGAGAGTCCGCATTGTGGACTGGAAGCTCTGAGGTCAGCATGTTTTCACCTTACAATAACTTGCATATTCAGTCAGTTTTACACTGATATTCACAATGGCTAATATGATTCCATAACCTATTTTATAGGCTCTATGTGTAACTTTTCACCAGTGTTAATCGTTTTTATGGCCAATGGTTTAACAGGTTGTAATGCGGCTTAAAAACTGAGACTTTCCACAATCTTCTTGGTTGCCTTTAACAGCCTGTGGACTGTCTTATGTGTAAGGATTCGGGATGAATTTTCCAGGAAAATACAAAGGATGTGACGTTATGTGCGTCCCTGCTTGTCTTGCCTCTCTTCAGCTCTGCTACATCAACAGTGTGCAACAGTAGCTGATGTAAGCTAAGAAATGGAGTCGCTTAAGCTCAACAAACGTCCGGCATCCACCACAACAGAGTCCACATATACTGTGTTTCCATTATATACATTTCGCAGTGGCAGCCTGGCAGATGGACCTTCACTTAACTTTCTATAACAGCTCAGATTCAGCCAGAGCAATTTTCTTTCAGCTGTGAAGCCGGGATGTTTTTAAGCAGCATTTCTACCCAGGAATAATGTTTAATACAAGGGCTTGTTTTATTCTTGTGTTTAGACTGAGGTGCTGCTGGTTGTCAGAGAGTTGCTGTGCTTCTCTGGCGTCAGCTTTAAAGTCCAACCCCTCCAGTCTGAGAGAGCTTGACCTCAGTGAAAATGATCTACAGGATTTGGGAGTGAAGCACCTGACTGCTGGATTGGAGAGTCCGCACTGCAGACTGGAGACTCTGAGGTAAGGAATCTTTTTTCCTCTCCGTGGAGCTCTAATTGGACATAAGAAGTAGTTTGTTTTGCAGTGCTGTTGGTGCATGAGACTGGCACTCCTCACTGCTTTGCCAACATGATAAATTGCATCTGAGCTGCATGTCTGTGTTAAATTAACATCTCTGTTGTCTTACATGAAAACGTGTATTACTCTGGCCTGTTTCAGCAAAGGTACTCATGGCGCTCTAGAGATCAAATGACTTTTAGAGAAGACAATTTTCTGGCAATAAAAAAAAATGACTGACATGCTTCACTGACACAATAGTTGTTCAAAAGTAGCCCCATAAAAATCTACTTATCTCTGCAGGTTGAAGCGTTGCCGGGTCACAGATGAAGGCTGTGCCTTTCTGGTATCAGCTCTGAAGTCCAATCCATCCTGTCTGACAGAGCTGGACCTGAATGAAAACAGCCTGCAGGAAACTGGAGTGAAGCTGCTGTCTGGTGTCCTGGAGAGTCCAAACTGCAGACTGGAGACTCTCAGGTCAGTGGCAGGTTTGAGTCAGTGTATACTAGTTTCAGTAGTATTCAAAACCCCCAACTTTACAAATGTCTGCTTTCCCTAGTGAACAGGATTGCACAAGATGCAGATAAACTATTCTCAATTAGGCCAGGAGCTGAATATGATGATGTGTTTAATTTAACCTGCAGAATATTTTTGTTCATTCCTACAGGATGGAGGAAATGGAGTAAACCTGGAGTGCGTCCATCTGACTATAATGCATCTTATCATTGGCCATGATGCGTTTCTGACTCCAGGGCTGCGAAAATCTGCAACGTTACAGCTGTGTCCTGACGGGACAGTTCAACCCCAAATCAAGAAAATAACATTTTTCTTTTTACTGTAGTGCTATTTATCAGTCTAGACTGTTTTGGTGTGAGCTGCCGAGTGTTGGAGATAACGGTCGTACAGATGTCTGCCTTCTCCCCAATATAATGGAACTAGGTGGCACTCGGCTTGTGGTGCTCAAAGCACCAAAAAATACATTAAAAAAACTCAATAATAATGCCTCTTTCCAGAAATTATGACACGGTTACTCAAGATAATCCACAGACCTTGTTGTGGGCAGTCTCATGTAGGAACTATTTTCTTTCTACCACACTACTCCTCCCAACTCTATCACCACACAGAAGGAAGCGATAATTCTCTACTGGCTCACCTAGCACCACCGGGCTAGCTAATGTTACGTTCCAAATGATTCTTCATCGGCCAGCAGATTACCGTTTTTGTCCTGACTGCACATATGTTGACAGAAATTTTCAGTCTAGTGCATGTTTCTCCAATTTCAAAAATAGGAATTTCTGCATGAAATTCCCCCTCTATGCTTACAGGAGCCAGTATCATGTCTGTTTCCTTAAAGCGCAACACGACAAACCTAAGAATGACATCATGCCCACCAGGCATTTGTAAGATAAGATGTTTTAATGTTTTTTTTGGTTTCAGTGTGAATAAAATGTTTAACAAACACAATTATATCTTGCCAAGTCTGCTCGGAGTTAACCAAAGGAATAGTTTTTTATTTTTTCCGCTTTAAAATAATCTCAATTCTAACATATTTGCAAACTGGAAAAATGCAGCAGTGATGACTTGAGTCTGTCTCAACCTTCCATCAGCGGAGTGATCACGCTAACAATGGCAACACTTTCACAGTCTACAGTTCATTTCATTTCCACTGGGTGTCCACTCCTTACAGACCCACAAAAGAGCGAGTCTCTGACAACCAATCACACCTGTAAAAAGAAGGCATCATACCTAGCAACGGGGTCAACCACACCTCCTCAATGAGATAAGGGTTTCTGTCCCTTTGTTTAGGGTGAGGAGCTCTCTGGGAGTATTTATCAGAATGTTTGTGAATGCGGCCCTAGGAAGTTACTGGTACTGGTAAAACGCTGAATTGTTGTTGGTAACCTTTGCTTTTTGTACAGATTAAACAAACGAAATGTAATGTGTTAATTAAAGAACTTTAGAGCTGTGCTTCCCAACTGGTCTGGACAGATTTCTCCTTAGTCATTAGTTAAAGGTCCACACAGTTGGAACACATTCAGCGCCATACTTGCGTTTGGCAATGTGGTCGAGCAACTTTGCTGTCTCTGTCACGTAGCGGTCTGTTAGTCACTCACTCTACAGCAGGAAACACTTCAAAATAAAAGCTTTGTGCCAGAAAGTCGCTGTACTTTAAAGTTAAGTGTTTTTTTTTTTTTTTTTTGGAAAAAAATGACATGTTTGCAGGTTAGTCAATTCAGAATGGACTCGCAACCCACTTTTGGACAGCGACCAATAAGTTGGGAACCACTGCTTTATTGGTGCAGATAGACGGATTGTGTCACAGCCAGACTGAAAGTGTCCATACAGTCGGTGTATATAACTGTTGTTTCAATGCTTTTTAACTTATAATATGTACAGAATATTTTGCCAACATTATCATGCTTAGGGTTTGTTAAAAGGACGCTTTTCCTGGATGTTTAAGTTATTTAATGATGCTAGTGTGGAAAATATATACAGCTTGTTTTGAATAAAGCAGATACAGAAAACAGTGACACAAACTTTTTGTCCCTCAAGCACCCATGTCTGCTTACAAACTAACATGCTGACTGTCTTCATACAGCTTTGGACTGTATTTGTCAGAGGTGCGGACTTGAGTCAAAGATTAAAAAGTGTGTTACTTGAAATGCATGCCATGAATCAAATAAGTTCCTTTCACCTCCTAAATTGACGAAAATTAACCCTTTACATTTCTAGCAAATCAACACTAACGCTGCATTCACGTGCTCCTCGGATGGTCCCATTTCCCATTGAAATGTTGTTCTTGCAACTTTGGTGTGTTCATGAGCTTTAAGTGGTAATGTGGAAACAACACAGACGCTGCAATGATGTGTTGCATTTTATTGCTCAGAGTATTTAAACAACACATTGGTAACAGTTTTCAGTTTTATATTACAAGGTGATTTTGTCCCAGACTTGTTTCTACACCAGTACATCCTCTAAAATGATTAAAATATTGCTTTACTGATCTAGGTCAGTCTACCTGGACAGCAACCAAGGGTTAAAAGCTAATGTACCATATTGGTAGTTGATGCCAACTCGGCAAATTGTGTACCAAAATGTTCACAGATTTTTGGACTTGTGTGGAAGTTCATGTGAATTTTTCCTAGTGGGGAACTAATTTTTCAGATTATTCTGAAACTCCATGAATGCAGGGGTAATTCTCCAGATCCACTTTGTTTAAACCAATCGAACAGCATCCAGGCAGGTTGCAGGAGAGAACCATGAAGAACTAATGTTACGTGACTGAGAGCTAGTTGAAAAAAATGACACCAAGGATAATTATGTTTGCATACAAAATCTTCACCAGAGATGTAACAAGCAAATTTAAAAAAAAAAAAAAAAACAGTCTTGTTCAAATGACTCCTATAGGACTGAAACTCAAAGTTTAGGGACTTGTAACTTGATTTAGGACTTGCCTGTCTTGAGTGGAAAGACTTGGGACTTAGACTGCTCAAAAAAACTAAGGGAACACTAAAACCACACAAAATCATCAACCCAGTGAGGGCTGGATTTAAAAATCACACTGAAAATCAAAGTAAAAAATTGGAATCACAAGGTGATCCAACTTGAAATGTGTGCCTGTATGCACTCCAAACAATGTCTGGGTATGCTCCTGAGGAGTCGGCGGATGGTGTCCTGGGGGATCTCCTCCCAGACCAGGATCAGGGCATCAGTGAGCTCCTGGACAGTCTGTGGTGGTACTTGGCGCCCTTAGATGCGCTAATACATAATGTCCCATAGGTACTCATTTGGATTTAGGTCAGGGGAACAAGAGAGCCAGTCAATGGCATCAATGCCTTTGTCACTCAGGAGCTGCCTACACACTCTGGTCACATGAGGCTGGGCATTGTCCTGCACCAGGAGAAACCCAGGGTCCACTGCACCAGCGTAAGGTCTGGCAATCACTCTGAGGATTTCATCCTGGTACCTAACAGCAGTCAGGGTACTGTTGGCTATGACTTGGAGGTCAGTGTGACCCTCCAAGGATATGCCCCCCCAGACCATCACTGATCCACCACCAAACCAGTCATGCTGGATAATGTTACAGGCAGCATAACATTCACCATGTCGTCTCCAGACTCTTTCACACCTGTCACATGTGCTCAGTGTGAACCTGCTCTCATCTGTAAAGAGAACTGGGCACCAATGGCGGATCTGCCAATTTTGGTGTTCTCTGACGAGCCAATCGAGCTGCGTGCAAAACCATTCCCTTTTGGGGGGTTGTCTTGCTTTTGCCTCTCCATTGCACCTGTTGCCACTTTCATTTGCACCAAAGCAGGTGAAACTGGTTCACAGTCACTTGGATGGATTGATATTCCTGAAGTTTAACTGACATGCTGTTATGCTGTAACGATCAAGTGTTCCCTTAATATTTTTGAGCAGTGTACTTATGACTTGCAGACCAACGACTTGGTCCCACCTCTGGTATTTGTAACATGAGAAGCCCACATTAGAGACCTACATCTTGCCCACGCCCTGACCGATGTGCTGCAAGGCCTTATTATTGTAAAACCTATTGTTTGCATTGGACAAGTTTTTCTTTTGCAAAATATGGGCAGTACAAACTTATAGTATTTTTGTGCATTTGAATAAGGCTATCATACTGTTTGTGTTTTATGGCTTTTTATGATTATTAAAAAGAAAATTGGACATACTAATGAGAATTGCAAGCACCAGCATCTGACCAGGCTAATAAAAGGCAGTGCCAGTCCCTTAAAAGTAAAAAAGTAAATCCGTGCGCATTAAAATATATCAGAAATTACACTGACTTCTTTCCCCTTTATGAGTATCACACCTTAAACCATCCAACTCCATCAAACAGCTATTCTATACCGAAATCATTGGCTGATGTTGATCCTGATGATGTAAAATAATCTGATACTCAACCATTATATAATTTACAATCTCTCAGGTCTTGTTACAAATACCTACTGGATGACCTCAGAGCTTGACCTAAAATGAAACTGTGTATCTGCTGTTTTTAAAATTCTTTCTTTTAATTCCGTGAACATGAACAGGGTTTTTTCCTGGCAGTAATTATTCCTCCTGCTCAGTCCTCCGAAGTGTGGACACACGGACGGATGGATAGGCAGGTGGCACATTATACATACAGCAAGAAAAACTGTTTCAGTGCTCGTACATTGTTTTATGGGAGACTTGTGTGAACCTATCTCTAAAGATATACTAGAACAGAAGTAATTTCTCTTAATCATTATTCACAGCCAGCTAGAAGTGTATTATTGTGTATCTGTATGCAAAGATTCTGCCCTCTGTCTGTACTTTCTTATTTTCTGGGCTTGGGATGTTTATGGGAGTGTACCTCTGCAGCGCTCAGGTGAGGACGGGGCTTGGGAAAAAACGTAAAGCCAGGTGCCAGACCGTAACCAGCGACATCCAAGTGACACTGCATCAAAAAACATGCAAATATGACAGTGAATCAAGGTTGACTTTTACTTTCACAATCCTGCAAAAGTACACCTTTAACATTTGAATATTTTACTGTTGCATTATCAAATTCAGACTCAACATTTTTGGACTGATGTTATTTGTTGATTGCGAAGCTGTAGGATTTTATATATATACAGAAAAAAACTTTTTTGGTACATTCATCTGGTCTCTAAACTGCCCTCTAGTGTTCAACAAGTGTACTTACATGAGGACACAACTGAGAGAAAGAGTTTTTATTTTCAACCCCTTTTTATAGAAATACTTTTGACAGAATCTTCTCAAACCAGTTAGTTATTTTCTGTTTGCTGCATTCTTTCAAAAATATACTTCTTTTGTACACAATTGGCAAAATAAAAGAGCCAGCTATGAGGCAGGCAAGTTGGAAAACATTTTAAATGGTATCCACAATTACATTTAAAATGTTGCACAGATCTGTAGGTTCTGTGAAGGGCAAGCTGAGCTACTTACTGTACTGTCAGGAGAATAAATAAAGCACTACACAACACACTCGACCAGAAAACACCTCTGAAAAATAAATACATTCAAAGTCAGGTCAAAAGTAAGGTCAGGTAAAAACAAATGCTCACTTTAAATGTCAGAAACCGCTCCCAGAAATATTTGACTACATATTTGATATAAAAGCCTGAAAGTTATGGGGAAAAAATCTTATCTGAAAACAACAAAAGAAATGCCCTGAAACACATCAGCTGTAAAAACACACCACCCTGAATACACTGCATGTTCAGAATAAAATATTCTGACCCTGATTTATTGTTTTTGATACAAACACATGATAGCAGTGCTAATGGATAGCAAACAGTAAAAAACAATAATCAGCTTAAAGCTTCAAATGGAGTCCGAAATAAAATCCTGATTAAAATGATCAAATGAAAACAAAAGATGTGTAGGGTACTGAGGAGGGATCTGTGTAAACACCCTGAGTACAGGCCCTGAATATGCCACCATGGATCCTTTTTTAAAAATTCTTTAAACAGAATTTGTTTGTTTCATTTTTGCTGTGCTCACCAACACACTCGCCTCGTAGAAACATACATGTATTTTCACTCAACACTGTCTCATCTACCAAATGTGTAACAGGGGGGTGTTTGCTTTCTTCCTCTTTCTTAGTGGAATGAAAGCTGAACTTTGGCTTTCTCATGTCCATTTACACAGTTTACTCTCCTGGAGCTGCCAGCTTTGCCATCCTCGCCCTCGTTGTTGTTTGCCCAGCTGGCTTTCAGAGGCGTCAGCTCAGGTGCTATTATGTCTCCGTCCTGTGTGTGAATAAAACCCCATAGATATCAGAGTTAACAAGGGCAGCGTCAAGTGTAAACACCAAAAACAAAGTCACTGTGACTGATGCAGGGCCCTGCACTGGGGATCTGTGACATAATTCTTCCCTCCCAGTTCAACAATGTATGTGGACCGGAGGAGGAATCATCAAAGACATCATAGAAGTAGCGGTGATGACAGCCGACTGTTGCATCGCCTCACGTCACCAAGAAGTTGTGCTTGAACACACCCAAAGGCTACAGTCTGCGCCTGCGTGAGAGGAGATAACTCTCCATACCAGCAGGGGGCGGTAGTTTGTCATTAAAAAAGGCAAAGCACATTAAAAACACAACCTGATGATATTTAAAGTGTGCCAGCAAATATTAAACAATCATGAACTGTTCCTGCTAAAGAGCTTGATGACTAAAAAAAGAATCCTACCTAATATAATAAATTTGTTTCGATCTCACACCCCCTTGACTTTAGTTGCTTTCCTTACTTCTGCTTCTCTCCTTAAGCACTGAGCTGACCAATCAGAGTAATTGGCAGGCTCCACCACTTATTTAACATGCTGAATGGTCTGAGAAACAGCCAATTCAAGTTTCGGTGAATCAAAGGATATTACAGTTCCTGATATCTTGATAGAAACCGATGCGTCATGGAGGTCGCCCAGTTTATTTTCCAACGCCTGTACAACGGCTAGCAGGATGCTAGTTTAGCTTGTGCTCATTCCTTTCTATCTTTACTGTATGTTTACTGATGTTTACATTTGAAAACATCGACCTGGCTAGCAAACGGAAAGCTAGCAGAATTCAGCAGAAGGAGAGTTAACAGACTGGTGAGCTGTTTTCCTTATCCCGATGAGTGACTCGCAACCTCGTGCCACCGCCGCCAAAAGCCAACCATAAAAAGCACCACCAAGACTTGCAAGAGCCTATATCTAGCAAGGCTGACAGAGAGGCAGCTGGATCGTTTCCTGTAACTAAGCCACTGCCCGCAGAGAAGACGATCTGCTTCCTGTTTATATTGGCACATGCACGCCACTGTATCTGAATGGTCGTGTGATTCCCGTTTTGAGGTGTGTCAGTACGGATGGAGATAAATTCTGAAATGCTTGTGTGTACAGAGATTGTTTAAAAATGCTTTTTTAAAATGAAAATGTGTAAATGTGGATGTGGCCTATGAGTCAGATCCAGGGTAGGTACGAATGATCTTTATACAGTCTATGGGCCCAACAAAACGTGCTTTCCTACCACAAAAAAACATATTAAAGCAAAATTTCCAGTGTTTTAAAAACCATTGTTTAAATCGGCGTATGCCCCATCTATAGTTTGCAGACATGTGTCATATCACCAGTGTGCGCTTGCCCTGTGTGTGCATCTTTGAGTGCATCTGACACAAGATAGAAACAACTCCGGGACTTGCTCATTACTTTGCTCAAAAGTGCTACTCATTCACTATTACATTTATTTGTCCATCGTAAAAAAAGTCCCTACAGTTTGAGGTAGAGGCAAAGTATCTATGTCATGTTTAACAAATATACCTGAAATATTACCTGAGGTTTTGAGAAGTCTTTCTTTATGCACCAAAGGACAAAGTGCTTCTTGGCTGCCTCCAGACTCCTGTCATCTGTCTTCTTGCAGTAAACTCTGATGAGCTGCTCTGCAAACTGCTCTGGGAGAAGTTTAGACACCTGATAAAAATGAGAGCAGCACATAGTTTACTCTGAGGCATGCCATTTGAGACAGACAGCTTCGACTCATTAAGAGGAAAACGTCCATAACGCAACAGCATGCAAAGACAGATTTAAGATTTGAAGTCCATGGTCTTCTCTTCAGTTCTGACCTGATTCTTGCGAATCTGGATGGCTGTGGTCAGATCATCCTTGCAATAGAAACGCACATTGTTGATGGGGTTCTCTTCCCCCATCCCATAGTCCATAAAAATGACCTAAAAGAGAAGGAGGAGTTTTTAGATCATCGAGTGCAGTAAGCCACAAAGGTTAAGGCATTAGCTTATAATCCATCCTTCCATCCACATTTATTTTGACGGGCTGTTATCTTACAAAGACTATTGCACATTCATACATATTACATTTCTGTCAAGCTTCAGAGGCTTATTGTATAATACGACAGTCTTTTGACAAAATGACCCAGTAACGCCGATTCCTGTAACCATAGTAACTCACTCCTACTTGCATGTGCAAGGCAAGAGAGAAGGAGTAGGGAGAGATGTTGTGCTGCTACCAAAATTGACTGTATTAGATTAAAAGTAATTACATTAAAAACTCACTTGAACGACAAAGTCCTCTGGCTGCAGACTGACATCCTGGGAGCTGCTCTGAGGGATGGATTGAGCCAGATCTGCCTCCCAGCTTTGAATCGTCTCCTTATGAATGGAGAAAGAGCAAGAGCATTTCAACAAGGACAATACATGAGATATGACCCTTGGATTTTTATCATAGTGGTATCATAGCAATATAGAAGAAAATACAAAATATATTTAACCACAAAATGAACAATTTCTTCGCTCAAATCTAATCTTTCCAATCTATTTTCCAAAATCTAATGACACAAACAAGTTTCATTCCGTTTATCGGGAAGCTCATTAGCTTCATCAAAGCATCAACAAGGGGTCAGAAATTGTGAGTCAATTTGACGGTCAACAGAAATTGTGAGCAATTTTCAGTTTATCCTTAAAATAAATTATCAAGCAGAAATACCAAACATTTGCTGGTTCCAGCTTCTTAAAAGTGAGGATATGATGCTTCTCTCCATTTTATATTTATATCACAGTGACTTAAATATCACTGAGTTATGATCAGACAAAACAAGCAATTTAAAGACAGCACCTCAGGTTCTGGTGAAGTGCATTTTTCACCATATTCTGATACTGTTTTAGACTTGACAATGAAGTAATTAACAAAAAGACAGATCATAGATATGATAGATCAATTGATAATAAGATTGTTAGCTTAAGTCCTACGCGACAACTCAAAAGCATCAGAGAATACACTGCAAAACTAGCTAACAATCATACACACCAAAAACAAACTGCACAAAACAACAACTAGCTCCAACAAAAAATATTTCCAACTACTCAATGAATACAATATGAGGTACTTAGCCTCATACTCAAAGACGGATGTAAATTCTTGCAATAGTTGAACAATTCAAAAGATGCTTCATAGTTATGACTACGATTATGATTTGCTGACGATGGATGCTGTGATAAGCAGAATGTGTGTTCCAACACAGCCATACAAAGACACAAACACACACCCGGGTTACTTTCACAGGTTTCTTTGCCTGGGTTTGGCCCAGACACTTGTAGAGGCGTCGACAGATGATGTTGCGTAGAATCTGCCTTGATTCAGCCAGCTCCGGGGAGGAGGAGTAGAGTATTTGTTCAAACACATGATCTACAAGACAAAGGGGGACACATCAGATGAAGCAAATTAAAGACACCAAAGTCAATCGAAAAATTACAATTAAATTACTCAGAATAATGTCAATCGGTATTAGCTGTTAAATACGAATGTTCGGCTGTTTGTTCCCTTTTTCCAGACAGAGTTTGAGCAGGGTTTGGCTGAATGTTCAGTGCAACAGTGGCAGTCGCGTAATGTAGTAAACACGCTAACTGCACTATCGAAAGATCGGAAATGCTCAACAGTTTTTGCTGACAGGAGATATCAAACAAAAGCCATTAAATTTATTTAATTAAGTTGCTGTAAATTAGGAGCTGTTAGTAGGAGCTGTAAATTCACCAATTCTATGCAGAAGGCAGAAGATAATGTTATCTCTGAACCTGTCAGGCCTCCCCACAAAGCCTCCCCTCCTATGGGCAGCTGCCTCTGTGTCTGCAGCTGCCTGTACAGAAGTACAGCGTGAAAGCTAAGAGCGCTGACTCTGCAGCTAAATCTAGGGACCGAAACATCCCCAGAAGCACACTGCACTCTGACTGACAAAAAAAGCAAACAAAACACAGAAACTGCTCGACTTGAAGACTGTCAGTCGACTGAGGGGTCATAAAACATGGATGTGATAAATCGCCTCAATGTATTCAATACAGACAAATGTCACAAAAACAGGAAGTGAAGAGGTAAAAGATTAAAGTGCAATAAAAGTGCGTGTAAGTACAAAACACACACATTCGTGTCATTTTCATCTAACTGGGTTTGAAGCAGGGATTTAGAAGTAATCCCTCTCTATCATCACTTATGACCCACTAGAGGTGTGGTGGTGTATTTATCTGCAGAGACTCTGCCCTCTGCCTGTATTTTCTTATTTTGCTATGTTCAGGATGTTCCTGGGCACAGTGTGCAGGTGAGTTTGGGACTTTATAAAAAGGTAGCTGACAGATGCCGGACCATAAGCAGCATGTATCCAAGAGGAGGCTAAGACAATCGTGGACACAGCACTGTAAAAACTCTAATATAATGAGGGAAAATGCAAAGGGGACAAAGGTCGGGTTGACTTTTACATTCACTTTTGCTGGCTGCTTTAACAGTAGCTGACAATCACAGTTTACTAGGGGTGTAAATCACTAGTTTTATCATGGTACAATATGATGATATGATATCTATGTTTATTACAAAGTCTGCCATAATACGGTTTCAATTCGATGCGATTCAGGGGTCTGCCAAGCCGCCACTCCTTTTACTTTTGCTTTGTCCCATTAAAGATAAAAAAAACAAACAAACAAGTGCAGTAAAGTTGAATTTAAATTGACTCTGCTGCCACACATAAAACAGCACATGGGGTAAGTTAGCCTTCAGGGTTTCTGCCAGAAAGCCTTTGCTGGAGGAACTGTTTTCATTTCACCCCAAACCATCATCTTTTTCCTAAAACCTCAGGACTATCTGGCTTAATGCCTTGAAGGCAAGCTTCTCCTAACAGCCATAAAGCGTGAACAAATAGCAGGATCATTTAACATCATGACCCGTATTTTCTCCTAAAATATTTCCACGCTGTTGATTTATTCCAGAGTAAATAACGCTATCTTGTCCCGTCTCTCTTGGCTGCTTGCCATCTGCCATTTTGCATCGATAATTATGGATCATTTAATTAATGTATAGATCCAGACCGATGGACCTTCACACCCCTATAACATATCTTAGCAAAACATGAAAAAATGTGATGCTATATAACATATAAGTGATTTATTTGTTTGCTCATCAATTTGGTGTTTGAACACAGTGGCATCTACAGACCTGTCAGCTTGGTGTAGGCCTCCATGTCATCTATGGCTGTGGAGAGAGTGAACATCTTCCCTCCTGAGCCTTCAATCTGGATGTACTTGTCTGCTTTTAAAAAGGCCTCTGTGATCCTGGATGATCATACCAGACATCATCATTTTTCAAAAACTCAACCATGAAGCAAAGACATCAAGATACATCAGAGCGATTAGCTACTTACATAGTCTCTATGATGTTGCCCACTTTGTGCTGGTAGGCTCTTCTGTGGAGACAGTTCCTTGTGTGGAACATGTCGTACAGGTTGCCCACCTCCTGTTAAAAGAATTACGTGCATTTCAGATAAGATAATATACATAACATAAGTTAGGACTTAAGTTGCAAAGGTATACGATTTTCACTGTACTATAGCCATCTCAGAAAATACCCCCGTTTCACTGTATCACCATATTCCCTAGAAAGGACTTTATTTTTCCTGAGGGAAAGTACTGTGCAGTAGTTGCATTACTAAATTGCAGGAGTGCGAATACAAAGAGTGCAATCTATGAGCACTAAAATAACATAACAGAAAAAGCAAATGTAACAAATATAAAATACAATATACACTCACTGGCCACTTTATTAAGTACACCTTGCTAGTACCAGGTTGGCACTTTAAATTTATGAGGACAGTGGGATTCATCATTAGTGGAACACAAGTACGAACAATTCTGTGGTTTACGAACACATCATGAATCTGATGTAGACCTTTATTAGGGCCTTTCTTAAGATATATTTCTATAGACATATAAAACAAGATATTGGGGAATGAGGCCCATTGTTCTTTACCCTCATGCTCACATTACTGGAAACCTTAGCTAGCTACCCTAACTGTCAGTAACTGATGTTTCTTTACTCTTTGCTGACACCTCCTGTGTGACATTTAGGGATAATGTCAATTCTGTGATGCCGTCCGTGATTCTGTTGTCACAGAGACTGAACCCCTCTGAGTGCTCATTATGTTCTGAGGTGGAGCTCTCAGGATGGCTACTAACATTTCATTTGGGACAGCATCACCCAAATGTGTTAATTAGCAGAACAAGACAACAACTGGAGAGGAAGGCCAGTCCTTCTTCCCAGAGCATTCAAGCTGCTTCCCAATGAAAATTCAGACTGTGCCAAAGTAATAACTAGGGCTACCCCCCAATAAGAATTTCCTAGTCAACCAATAGTCGTCATTTAGCGCCATAAGTCGACTAGTCGCCCGCCTGTTTATGATATTAATTTAATTATTAAATGATATATTTTGGGCGGGGCAACACAATGGCTTGAGTTGGAGGTGTGAGAAAGAATAGTATCAGTAACATTGTTAACACTGTGCTATATTACAGAGAAATCCAAAACCGTACTAATGAGCCTTCATTAATATAGGCCTATATTTTATCTACAAGTGCACGTCACACACTGAGCGAGCCGCCTGCTAATGACGCTGTCGGCAAAGCAGTAATGATTGTGCTAAGTGGCTAATGGGCATGTAGCTACTTCCATGTTTCAGATGATATGTCATGTTTGTAGTCGACCAATGAAGATGAGTTTACATATCACCTTGGGTTCGTCCTTCACCTTCTCGAAAATGATCCCACACTTTGGATTTCCTGCCCGACATGTTATTAACTGGCCTGTGGAATAACCGCAGGTACCAGCCCTGGAAATTAGGGGCCGGACACGTGCCATGTCTTTAACTGCCTTAAAATGTGAGGTCTGGCGCTGGGCGCTACACTTGTGCCTTTTCTGGCTAGCTTTCAGGAGCATGGCGGCAGGTTGTGGCTGAGGTTGCTATGCGTAGCCTATTTACCTGAAATCCTGAGTGCAGAGCTGATCTTCTTCCAGGTGCTGTTTCTAAGTGTGTAGGCCTATTGTCCGTGGGACAGATGTAAAGCTCTGGGTAGCCCTGCACTAACATGATCAACTTTTCTGTATCCATCAGACTGAATATTTAGGGACGAAGGGAAAGATATCTGTCGGCTGTGATTGGTTTATTACGTGACTCCTGTCTGACTGCTGAGCGTGGCCACTTCCTGTGTCTGTCCTTTCAAATTTAATTCTCACATATCCCAGTCATGTAGGTTTTGATTTATTTTGACAAGGCGCAGCTCCTAATAGAGTTTCACGTTTGTTTTATTTTTTTTCTGCGACTATGTGACGAACGAAATCTTGACAACTAATGACCTTTCTGGTCGACTAATGGTTGGTTGACTATTAGGGGGCAGCCCCAGTAATAACTGACACTATGGAGTATTTGTTGCTGCATACATGCGACTATACTCATTCAAAGAAAATACCAAATTCAAGTATGTGGACAAAGTGCTTGAGCCCTGCTACAGTGTGCTTTTACAAGTGGAGTTTAGTCAATTCATGGTGCCTGCCCCGTATTAAGGGCAACTGCAAACTGTAGATCAGGAATTAACAGGTAAGAGTCTTGTGATGGAGCATTACTGACATTTGTGTTTTGTTTTGTTTTTCTTACTGACAATATACCAGTACTTGAGTGCCTTAACTGTTACAGTAAGAATTATGGCCAATGGGTGACTGCTGGACATTTAAAATTTTCAAAATCAATGCAAAAAATATTATTTTCTGCCTTTTTCTTTTGTTTTTTCTCTGCTGTAAAAATCCAAAAAATGTACTAAATCATGACACCAAAACTAAGGTACATACCGAACCGTGAATTTTGTGTTGAGTGTACACCCTTAAAAGTAAACTTGGCTGCAGGCCCCTGCCAGCCCCATCAAAAGACACTTGCCACCTGGCCTAAAAAGTTTTCTGGGGGGGAGACCCTGAATCATCTCAACACACTGCTGCTTTATAAGCTCTTCAAAAAGCAGATATAACAAAGTCAGCACCTTGTCTCTCGTGCAGATGTGCTTCTGCCCGTCCACCTCACACACCCTGGCAAACTTTAGGAAGCGGCGGTAGTCAAAGTTGTTCTGGATGCCCAGGTGGTAGCAGTCCCTGAGAGGAGACAGTGAAGAAATGTGTGACAACACAGTCAGTTAAACTAAAGAGAAAAATATGAATATTCTATGTATGATTTGGGATATTCTTAATTCATGAACTAACACATCAATAAGTCCCACCTGGCAAAGTAGTCCCACTTGTCTACATCAATGCCATTTCTTTTGTTGGCCACGATTTCATAAAGGAAGGACTTGTCCTCTGGACGACCTTTATATGGCCACTGCAGAGATGACACCCAACAGCAAAATCAGAATCAGCTTTATTGTCCAAGTATGTGCAAGCATACGAGGAATTTTCACTCTGGCTCTCAATGTTTTTACATAGTGCTTAGAACAACAGGAAGATACAAACACATACAAACAGAGACACAGCTAAAAACAAGTTAGTAGGTGTGAAAATATGTACATACACATTATTATTATTATTCAAACAAATCAGACATGAGCTGTTGTAGCCACACAGACTTATTTTACATAAGCAGAACTGACAGCTACCTTCTTGCCTTGAGCTCCACTGGGATCCAATGGTCCAGCAATCTGTTCCTTTATAAAGTCCAGGTCCTCCGGTAGCACCAGGCCGTGCTGCTGCATCACCGGCTTCAGGCCATTGTCATTTACCAGGTAGTCAAACATGTCTAGAGAGGCTTTCTCATGCTGCAGAGTACACAGACACATATTAATATGGAAATGTGCATGGTCACAATTTGAAAATGAAAGCACAATGACTCAATACTTAAATAGAAAAAGCTTATCTCAGCTAAACCGTGACAGCACACCAATACGCTTGTCTTATCTCACGTTTTCCTGACGGCAGGTCTGTGGTCATAACTTACATAACGATGTGTGCCTTGTAGTTCTTATCAGTGATACAGCTCATTCTGAACAAAGCAATCACGATGTTAGCACTCAACTGTCACATTTACAAGTCAAATGACATTAAAAGCCTCTGTAAGCAAGGTGCTGTTTATTGCTGTGACTTCACAACTTCTGGTAAAGCAGGAAATATCATCACTACAAATTACTGACCAATTTAAAGGAAGAATAAAAAGAGGGCAATCTGTGTCCTTATAGATAAAGCCAAGGAAGGAGTTAAGTGTGTATCTTTAAGACTACATCACCTATTTGAGAGTTATGTGATGAGAGGATTTGTATTTGATTTGTGTCGTTCCAGCATACGAACATCCTAAAATCTACTGGACTCTTTAAAGTTGCAGTGGGCAACAATAGCCCCTTTTATACTGCCAGATTTTCCATGAATGTTAGGCCGTTTTGCCGACAAGCTACAAGCGTAGATTGGAGAGGTCATTCGAGGTGCCCAATTTTCCGCCTATTGGTGCAACCCTTTTAGTTTAAACAGACCGAGGCGCCCTTCTGCAACGGGACTTGTGGGAGGAGCTGTTGATGACGCCGCACGTGCAACCCACTGGCAGTGGATAAATAGGAAACAGCTGATAGCAGGAATTAGCGAGCAGCTAATAGCAAGAGGGAAACGCAAACCTGACAGACACTGTAAAGATGAGCAACTGAGGAAACAAAGAATTGCTCGCCCTCCTTGTCCTCGCAAACAAAGAGGCCATTAACCGTCAGATGATGGGGATGGTGAAGAACGGGCCGACTTACGAGAGAATCGCTGAAGGACTGACCAGCCGCGGCTCTCCTCCCACGTCACTGTTTACGTCACATGCTAAGCTACACGTTTTGTTACTTGCTCATGCCCCCCCACTGCCCTGAAAAAGGCGCATTCTGTATGAACAAAAGCAGGTACGCGGCATTTTGTTTTTATACTGCCAATGCTGAAAAAAGACGGATTGGGTTTTCCTGCAAACTTGCACAACTCTTATCTAAACAGGGCTATTATATTAGTGATGAGAAGAACAGGCTGCAAGTAACCCCCCAGCCAGTTTGTGTTGTTCACTCACCACAAGCATACTGACTCATAAATGGCTGGTGTTTGTTTTATTTTTTGGTACCTACAGCTGAGTGTGTGCTGATGAGTAACTCGCTCAGTGGGTGTGTGTTCGTGAACAACTCCTTTGTCAGCTCAGGGTGTGTGTGCTCATGAATAACTTGTAATTCAACTTAGGGGTGCAGGCCAAGGAACAGCTCTAGGAACCTAACCTGGCTCTCGAGTATTCATTTGGACATATTTGTTCAACGTATAGAGTAATCGCTGCCCAACCTCCCACATGTGAACATGACTCTTTTATTTTTCTAACTATTTAAAATGGGAAAAATCTTATTATGAGACTACTGCTGTGTTAGTGTGAGCTCTGCGCGAGGGAGCAGTCAGAGAGAGTCCACTTGCACACACTATTAGCATCACAAAGCTAACGTTACCTAACAGTTGACAGGTTTAAAAACAGAGTCATTGTAAGTGTGAGTTTGTTGGGACTGTTAAACTGCTTGGTGGTGGATGTTAGTGGCTGATTAGTCGACTAATCATTTTATCGAAAAATGTGTGTAAATGTATAAAAATATCGGTCTGTCTCTCCCAAACCCCAAAATTATGTCATCTAATGTCTTGTTTCGTACTCACGCCAAAGGGTTTTAGTTCACCGTCAAAGGAAAGAGTGTAAAGCTGCCAAAATATGAACGTAAGAAGCTGCAATAAGAGTATTTTGGGGTACTTTTATAGTACTTTTCTATGAAAAATGACTCATGACTAAAATAGTCATCAATTATTTTAATAGTCGATTAGTCATCGATTAGTCGACTAATCCCTGCAGCCCTACTACAGAGAGTCCTTTAGTGCTGTGTCTAACAGGAGTTTGTTGATTTTTCACAGGTTTGAATTTATGATTTAATAGGTGAACTGAAGTCTGGTTGTTTCATAAATACTTTTCAAATTGCACTTGGTTTCTGTTGTTGGCCAACTTATGTTCCTATTCTTATATTCGACCTTTTTCGTAAGTACTCAAGTGTTCTATAATATTTTTTGTGAGGACTCAAATGTAGAAGTTACTCAAAATGCCCATCCTTATCATGCACAACTGCACATGCACCATTCAGAAGCATGATTTTAGATTCTCTCACACTTGAGAATTGAGGTCACTTGTTTTTTTCTAAGAAATGTTCAAAAAGGCCGACTGTTCACAGATCCAATATCACTACATTAATTTCTAGATAAAAGCACCCAGGCTTTAACAGTCTCCACAGCGGCTGACTAATAGAGCCCTCAAGGCCTTTTCCTGTTACTTTTCAAAAATAGCCAGCTGTTTTCCAGACAGTAATTATTATCTGTCCCTCTGACTTTTCAGGGTGTTCCCATTTTTTCCATACAAACAGTATATCTGTCTGTGTGAAAATATCTTAACTACAGCAGTTGCTATCTTATTTTGAGAACACTGGGATAGTCCGTTTGAGATGTGTGGCTGAAGAAACTGAACTGAGACGCCCTTTTAAGCAGTAATTGTTTGTGTCAGATCAGTTGGCACGGATTTGTCCGGCCTAGTATGTTTCAGTTGTGTAAGACAGGGTGCTCTTTTGCATCTCTTTGACTACCAAATAATTTTCAGATGACTCATAACACCGGTTTGAAACCTCTGCAAACTACAGGCCAACAACACAAGTATTTTGTTCAGTCAGAGGAAATTCAGCAATCAGAAGACGAGAAGAGAATGTCCCAGACTGCCTGCATTTTCCAACTGAGAGAAAGTAGATTTAGATAATCTGTCGATGTAATTTATAACTCCATAAAAGTATTTCATATTTTGGCTGCGTTGTTTGACACTTGCTGCATATGGCAAAGGACAACACACACACGCACAGCGTTTTCTTACCTTCCACCCAATTCCTGGACGTGCTTTGGGGATGAACTGTCCATCAAACATGTGGGAAAATGGCCCATGTCCTGAAAAGTGACGGAGACGAGGGGGATTACGGGGGGAAATCAAAACAAAGTTATCGATTTTGGTGTGTGTGAAGCTGCATGTCCTCAATTTCATTTCATTTTTTCATTTGACTTTTATTCTCACTCATGCCCACACCCAGTGCCTAAGAGGATAACACCTTAAACGTCTGAGGACCTGAGTACCACTCACCCAGGTCATACCCCTGACCATTAGATCAACACTGGCTTTTATGTGACACATTGTGGATAGTTACACTTTCATTTTTGGTCTTGAACACACCAAGCAATTACCATTTAAAACCTATTACATGTAATAGTGAAAAAGTATGTATCACTCACCCAGGTCATGGCAAAGACCAGCGATCTGCACACAAAGGATGTCTCTGCGTGAGATAAGGAGTTCTGGCTGCCTCTGATTCAGAGCTTGTACAAGACGCCCTGCCAAGTAACCCACCCTGTATCAGCACAACAAAACCCAGATATACAGTGAACATTCAACAAAACATGACAATAAATAACTAGAGAGAGATATTAATACTGAACAGCTAAATCTGATTTGACGAGCATAATTTTTAGTCGGGTACAGCCCTGGATGGTACCAATGGAACCATTCTGTACCGTCCCCATTTTTGCCCCCCCCCCTCTCTGTTGGGGTACCTAGCACACAGATCTGGTACTAAAAAAGTAGAGCTGTGAACACTGCAGTCCGTTGACTGGTGAGTAGCAGACGGTCACTCTGCTCAGGGCTGAGTTGTGGCTGGTTTTGAAGCTTTTCTAACCACTGTTCACACTGTGGCTTTACAGTTTTATATACGTATTTAACAGCAGAACAATGCTGGTTCATGATGCCTTGTTATAAACCCTAATCACTACACACTGTTTTTAACTGAGGACCTACCCAATGCAGTGTTCAAAGCGGTTGTGGGATGCTCCAGGAAAAACAAAGTAGGTCCCTCCAAGCTGCTTGAGGTTTCGTAGTCTCTGGAACTGAGGTGTGTCAATGATTTTGATGAGAAGAGGGTGCAGCTCCACATGCCCGTGGATGGGATCGTTAAACACCTGGCAGAGGAAAGGACAACAAACAGCAAAGAAACTTGTTTTACCACTCATAATTTAAACCTATAACCAGTCCAGACTAGATAAACATGGTTGGCATAAAGAGGAGATGAAAGAATAAGCAACTGTCTGCTTGTTCCCCAGTAGGACTTGTTGAGCTAGGCTTGGTAAACTTGCTGGTGCTGTTTTGCATGTTTTGCATGTTGTCCTTTGTTTTGTTCTCTGTTTGGTGGTAAGCTATCATAATCAACCAGCCTAATGTTATAAGTTGAGTCTATTTTTTTTTAATCAGACAGCTAGCAAGATCTTGTTGGTGTCCCCGTGTCAGGGATAATAGCCTATTACATACACCCAGAGGAAGATGGGTTCATGAACCCGAAACCGAACTGCCATCACCAGCTATCTAACCTGACACACACAGGGAAACAAGACAAGTTCAAGTGGCACTCACACTGACAGTTCTGTCACACCATTTTTTTTATATTATCGCTGCTCTTTGATGCAGAAAAAGCCCACACTTGACTTGGCTTGTAGGTGGCTACAAGGTGGCTTCTAGGTGAGGATGATACTCGTGAGGTCACCAACTAGCTTGCAGAAAAATATCAGCGCCCTGCTGGTGAAAAAACGCGAACGACAATCTAGTTTTCTAGCAAATCTCGGTGGACATAAAGTTGGGATGCAGTGTCATATCTTGCCTGAGATAAAAATCAAACAAACCACAATCACACTGTTCAGTGTCTCATCTCCACTTTAAAACAAGATAGAAACGACTGCATGATAAAGTGAGTAAAACAGTAAGGAGTAGAGTGAACTAATAGAGGCGTAGATTACACGATAAAAGTGTGACTTTATCAGTGATTTAAAAAAGAATGAGCAGATTGAAGGCTGATAAAAATGTCAAATGTCATCATTCAAAGTCATCTCTGAAAGCTCTGCAAAAAAAGGGATCAAGGAACTGGGGCCTCTTTTATAAAACTGATTGGAGGATCCACACTTAATGGTTGCATACTTACAAATGAGGAAATGTACATATGCTGAAACATATTCTGAATTATAAAACCGTGCGTACATCTGCCAGTGTTCAATTTTCTTTTATAAATCCCAAATCAACCTGGAATTGTCTGCACATGGACCAGCCTCATATCCTGCCCTCTAAGTGCCCACATTCAACCATAGGTGGTCAGTGCAAAGCACCTCATTAATCCTGATTGATGCATAGGCATGAGCCAGCCAATCAGTGGTTCTTTACAGTAAATCATGGCAACGGCCGAGAGGTAAACCTAGAGAGCTAATTTTCCTGACACAGAAATCGAGCTGCTTGTGGGAGAGCTGGAAGTAAGAAAGCACAGAGCTTATTGTTTGGTGGGCAGTGGGGTCACAAACTAAAGTAAAGGCAGCGAGTGGGAACATGTTCTGCTGCTTTTAATGCAGTCAGTTCATCAAACAGGACACTACTTCACATAAAAAAGTCAGATCTAAAGATGAATGCAAAAAAAAAAAACCCAAATAAATAAATAAATAAATAAATAAATCAACCCTGACACCTTTTCTAATTTAGGCTACGCTACTTTTATTATGTGCAGGTTAAAACACCCCTAATATCCACCCAGTGTTTACTGGGTGGATATTAGGGTTGTAAATAATTTGATGAATGTGTATATATTTAATTTGGATTGTAAATAAATTGGGGATAGTTGTTTGTATGTTTATATTTGGTTGTAAATTGATTTATGAAGCTGTTTAATTTATTAATAGATAAGTAAGAAAGGGGTAGGGTCATATAAGTTTTACTTCTACCTGCTCCTTTTCGGACACTGTTCTTTTTTGTTTGTATTGTTTTCTGTCTTTAAATTTTATTTTTTTTATGTTCGAAATAAAAAATAAATTCATTCAAGATGTGGCGGGTGAGACGTGTCGCAGTGTCTCCAGTGCGCTCTGTGCATCTGAAAGCACACTCATGTTCCCTGCACCATTTTACACACTATCTGAAAACTAAAATGGTACTTGGTGATATAGGCACAGAGGAGATTACTTAAAACTGTTGACACAGTGTTCTGCTGATGTTTTCTTGGATTTTTACAGCCGACGACATTAATGTCATCAGTTATAACGATTAATGTGGTTGAGGTGAGAATGACTCGGTTTATTCACACTTACTATCGGGTAAAGGAAAGCCAGTATTTCCTGAAACCTGTCACGCGCCACTGTCTTACATCACCCAGCGGCACATGATGCGTTCCACAGCTGACCACAAGTGTCAGCAGCACACAATCTGGCACCGACCCTCCTCTGTGCTCCAGTAGTGGGGAATGTGATGGTGAGATGGGGCTAATAAAATACTGAGCGGGATCTGAGCTGAGATTTAAGGTGACATATATTTTGCAATCAACGCTGCTGCATTTGAATGTTTATGAAGTGGATCTATACGAAAGGTGTAACTTAAATGTGTGAGAGATCGTTTTAAGTATGATTCCTCTCACATCTAATCTCAAAAAACCCAAATAAATAAATAAATAAATAAATAAATCAACCCTGACACCTTTTCTAATTTAGGCTACGCTACTTTTATTATGTGCAGGTTAAAACACCCCTAATATCCACCCAGTGTTTACTGGGTGGATATTAGGGTTGTAAATAATTTGATGAATGTGTATATATTTAATTTGGATTGTAAATAAATTGGGGATAGTTGTTTGTATGTTTATATTTGGTTGTAAATTGATTTATGAAGCTGTTTAATTTATTAATAGATAAGTAAGAAAGGGGTAGGGTCATATAAGTTTTACTTCTACCTGCTCCTTTTCGGACACTGTTCTTTTTTGTTTGTATTGTTTTCTGTCTTTAAATTTTATTTTTTTTATGTTCGAAATAAAAAATAAATTCATTCAAGATGTGGCGGGTGAGACGTGTCGCAGTGTCTCCAGTGCGCTCTGTGCATCTGAAAGCACACTCATGTTCCCTGCACCATTTTACACACTATCTGAAAACTAAAATGGTACTTGGTGATATAGGCACAGAGGAGATTACTTAAAACTGTTGACACAGTGTTCTGCTGATGTTTTCTTGGATTTTTACAGCCGACGACATTAATGTCATCAGTTATAACGATTAATGTGGTTGAGGTGAGAATGACTCGGTTTATTCACACTTACTATCGGGTAAAGGAAAGCCAGTATTTCCTGAAACCTGTCACGCGCCACTGTCTTACATCACCCAGCGGCACATGATGCGTTCCACAGCTGACCACAAGTGTCAGCAGCACACAATCTGGCACCGACCCTCCTCTGTGCTCCAGTAGTGGGGAATGTGATGGTGAGATGGGGCTAATAAAATACTGAGCGGGATCTGAGCTGAGATTTAAGGTGACATATATTTTGCAATCAACGCTGCTGCATTTGAATGTTTATGAAGTGGATCTATACGAAAGGTGTAACTTAAATGTGTGAGAGATCGTTTTAAGTATGATTCCTCTCACATCTAATCTCCACAATCTGGCTTCAATTCACCACCTCACCATCTGTGTTGCCAATTTCCCCTGTCTCCAAATTGAGTTTCCCTAAATCAGGGGTCTGCAACCTTTGCCATTACAAGAGCCATTTTTGACCAAGAATAATTTGAAAAAATCTGTGTGGAGCCGCAAAACATGTTTGAGCCTTATAATCAAGGTAAATAGCCTATTAAGTCTAAATCAGCGTATACTTATGGTCTAAATAAGCATTTGTTAATATGTTTTACCACAAGGTGGCCACTGTGCAGGGCACTATTTATGATAATTTGGTACTTAAATTTTGCAGAGCTGGCAGTAAGAGCAAACAAATCTGACCAAGAAATACTACATTATCTATTTTATTCAATTAAATTTTTTGGATTTGGAATCCATAGCTAAACAGCCACTGCAATCGAGGTTCAGCAACATTTGGATTCATAGAATGAATTTCCATAGACTTCTTTTCTCAAAGGCTCAAGGAGCCACTGGACAGGGGCTAAAGAGCCACATGTGGCTCCGGAGCCACAGGTTGCCTACCCCTGCCCTAAATTCACATACATATCCAAGTCAAGTTTTTCTTTATAAACCCTGATTTATGCTTAGAAAGTGGCGTACGCACATTTCAAGCCCTTTTTTGTGCGTACTCAGTGGTTATAAATGAGGCCCCTGGTCTAGCCTTTCCTGTTAACTTTTTCATTTATGTTGTAACCTATTTATTTATTCAAGGTGTAGGTGGGGAACAAAATAGTGGTCAGAAAATGAAAAGAAGGAAAATATTCTGTGTTTCGTGCACTAACCCTTGTGTCCTCTCACACTTCCTTGCTGTTTATCCTACAAGTTCTCCTCCTTTATTATGCCTCCCTTATCACTTTAGCCTTGAAAGTGCAGCTTTGAGTTACAGCTTTTACCTTATTCGGCTCTGCTTCTATCTGCCACAGCTTCCTGAGGCTGTGTAGGATCTTTAGACGGTCACCAAGGTATCTGGACAAATGGAGGATGGGGAGAGGGGGTGAAAGAGACAGAGGGATGAGGTGTCAAACATTACAGCAAACCCAGTTAGAACTGTCATGTGGTCCTGCCCTATTGTGACACCAATGTGAGAGTGGCTTTGACCACACTTTTTCCTACCCACAATGCCCTTAATTTCCACACACCCACGAGGACACACTTACTGTACGCCAATCTTTTCCAGGTCAGCATCACTGAGATACCGCAGCCCGACACCTGTGATTTTTTGAGCTGGACAACAGAGCGGACATCACTGATGTTAGCTTAAATGTCACAACACACAAACAGAAACAGCAGGCTAGCGGCGCAATAAGCAGCTCTCAGATGACTTAACTGCATTTAGACCCACAATGAGAACTGTCAATGTAAGCTAGCAAACCATTAAGCTAACCTCTAAATGCATCTTCCCATTCTCCGAGACCCTCTGTTCGCAGGTAGTGACACGTTTCCGCCACTTCCCATTGCATGTAGTCCGAGTCCAGTAGCCGGACCAGTGACACTTTCTTCTCCGGCGTTTGGTAGCTGTCATTAGGGGTCACAACTGCCTCTAACGGTCGTTTTCGGTTCTCCATGATTCACTGAGAAAAGGGCAGTAATTTGGGTAAGTCAGAGGAGTAGACGACAAAATTACAGCCGGTAATGTTACCCACGTCGACTGTAACAGCTGACCGGTTTGCTCTGCACAAGAGACTCTAAGGCGGTGAAAAATACCCGGGTTTTGTTTCTACGCCGGGTGCGTCAAGCTAAACCGGAAGAGAGATGTTTCCGGTATTTTTTTCAAAATAAAAGTCCATGAGCCTATATATAGTAATGATTTTCTTCTTGGTCGTGCAATTCTTCTGATCAGTGGGTAATAAGCGGGCTACAGTTCCTCTAGTAGATAAGGGAGTGTTCTTTATTTATCAGAGAAGGGGGTGGCTGGGGCGTGACTTAGGTTTTTATTTATTTTTTATTTTATTTATTTATTTATTAATCGTGACTTCCCTGAAGCTACAAATAATTTTTTAAAGTTTGTTTTGGCCAATTTTTAAGGAGACATGCCGTTCAAAGTGAGTTTGAAAGGCATGTTTTCCTTCAAATGTGCGGTAAAGTAAAACACAAACCAAAATACAACCATTTAAGATTGTATGCCCCTCCTCTGAGCCAAAAAAAAAACAAAAAAAAGTCCCATAAGTCCCCCAAACACACACACACACACATAAATAACAAGCAAGCAAACAGTCATAATCTTCAACACCAACATGAAGGTGCTGTAGCCTACACCACCCAACTTCACTGTTACTGTTTGCATGCTCTCTGCAGAAAACAGTGATAGGTAGGAACTATAATAATTCTTAGTCTAAGGGTCTTATATATAAATAAAATAATAGTTAAAGTGTTCACATGACAGTGGAATAATTACTGCACGTAATGATATAACTTAATTTTGTAAGTCCAAAATAACAATGTGGAAGTATTCCTATTTACCTTTACAGATCAAGTACAGCACCTCATGGCAGTGCCCCACCCAGCAATGACAATGCACCATGCCACACTGCAAAAACTGCTCAGGGATGGCCCGAGGAACGTGACACAGAGCTCAAGGTCAAAACCTGGCCTCCAAATTCCCCAGACCCCAATCTGATTAAGCATCCGTGGACACAGCGGTACCCCAGAGGTAACCCTTATCCACAATGACTTGGCTCTGACATGTCAAGGCGTGGACACAGGACCACTGGAGGGTGTCCTGTGGTGTTTGGCACCGGGGCATTGACTGCAGGTCCTCTGAGATCTGTCCCTTGTGAAGTGGGGTACTGGCATGCCCCATGGATGCTTGATCAGGTTGGGATATGGGGAATCTGGAGGCCAGGTCAACGCCCTAAGCTGTTTTTGCAGTGTGGCACATTGTCCTGCTGGTGAGCCATTGCCATCAGAGAGCGCCCCTCTCATGTGGGTTTACTTGGTCTGCAGCGGTGCTTGGGTGGGTGGTGTGTCAAGTGGCATCCACATGAATTCCAGGACCAAAGATTCCCCAGCAAAACATTTCGTTGTAACAAGATGATCGCCTATTAGTGGATATTCACAGTGTTTTACTTGCTTCACCACTGTAGAGAAACAAAGAAAAGTAATTTTGTGATTTCGATCTAAGTTGTTGACTGTAGTTTAAACTTTATTGAACATGTGAAAATATTTCTAAGATATTATTCTGAAAAGTAAAACTTACTTCCGGTATCTTGTTTGCTACTTACAGATAACTTGACGCAGCTTGCACCTCCTCTGCTGGCACGCGGAGGGTGGAGCCAAATATAGTAGAGAGAATGAGGCCACGGTGTTGACGCCTTAACTCCGGATTACGTCCAGTGAGGACGACATATGACCTCAAGTGCGTTTTAAAATGGTTTCTTCCTATCCGCATATTGCAATTAAATAACGGATAGGTGATTTTAAACACAGGAAGTCAGGGAGAGACCTGCATTAACACCTGACCTAGCCTCACCTGTGAGATTTATACCTGAACATTTGGCAGTATTCATAATGATAATAAATCCAAAAAAAGACACAAAGTTCCATTAAAAGCCAGGCTAAAAAGGTAGGACTTGAGTTTGCTTGTGAAAACATAAAAACTCTTTGCGGCCCTCAGGTCATCAGGAGGAGTGATCATCGTGGACCATAGTTATGAAATGATGCCTCATTATGGTTGTTGTTCCAACTTTGGGGATGATTAAAAGGCCACACTGAGAGGACCTGAGGGTGCTAGAGGGTTCATATGATAAAAGCAAATATAATAAGTAAGTAGGACTAAGATCATTAAGAGCTTTATGAACCAAAACAAGGATCTTAAAATCAGTTCTGAAGCTCGCAAGAAGCAGGGACAGGGACTTTAAAATTGGTGTAATGTGTGCTCTCTTGTGGCCAACGTCAATGCACGTGCAGCCGAGTTTTGTAAGAACTGCAGGTGATAAAAGCATGCATCAGTGTCTCTGTCTGTGTTGGCCTGAGAGAGAGAAGCAGTCGTACTCTGGCAATGTTCTTAAGATGATTAAATCTGGTTTTGGTTGTACCTCTAATATGTGGTTCAAAACTAAGGTTCGAATCAAACATAGCTCCAGGGTATCTCACTTTAGCGCTGCACTGCTGGGTAACTTAAAGGATAACTTGGGTATTTTTCAACCTGGGCCCTATTTCCCCATGTGTATGTGTGCGTATGATTCATAGCTACAACTCATTTTAAAACTGGTTCAGTATTGAGGGAGGCGGATGCAGCCGGCAGCCGCGAAACGAGCTAAAACAGTAGATATGGGGGCAAATGCGTCCTGTATAAGTTTGCGCATTTAAAGTGCTTTTTTTCGCCACTGAACAGTTGAGATCGCCAGTGCTATCTCTGTAAATAGCATACTAAGCGTTTCGAACATTGTTTATATAACATTACCTCCACTGTGTCTGTAGCTCTCTCTACTCGTGGGACAGCCGTTTTCTTGAGGAAGAGGTGTTTCGGGATTGGATGTCTTCTCTTCTTCGGCTGGCAGTAGTCATCTTGGGAGAAGTGAGCACTGCAGACCCGGTGGTCTGTAAGGCGCAGTGTCTGGACAGGAGTGTTAGCATCCATTTGTAGCACAACTAGCCACAACTTCAGCATCTCGCAGTCTGACAAAGGCAGTCTATGAAAGCTGGACGGTGTGTTGCGCGACATCCTGTTCTTGCAAATCGGATAAGCACAAACACAAACCATTGTTTTCAGTCGATGCAGTAAAACTCTCAGCTGTACTCTGGGACAACCAGCGCCACTCTGAGCGGCGCTCAGTATGGCTCCTCTGTTTTCTTCTGGCAACAAGCAAAGCTCTCGCGAGATGACATCACAGATAGCACTGGCGATCTGAACCGGTCAGTGGTGAAAAAAAGCAATTTTAATGCGCAAACTTATACGGGACGCATTTGCCCCCATATCTACCCTTTTAGCTCGTTTTGCGGCTCCCAGCTGCATCCGCCTCCCTCAATATTGAACCAATTTTAAAACGAGCTGTACCTATGAATCATACGCACACATACACATGGGGAAATAGGGCCCAGGTTGAAAAATACCAAAGTTATCCTTTAATCAACAAACATACATAAAAATATTAGTTTATTATATTTTGTACTAATAATTTGACTCTGCGAAGACAAGCTGCCAAAATAAACGTGGTTGAGAAAAAGGTCGTCGACGAATTCTGCTTTCAAAATGCAGTGAAGTATTAGCCAAAGTAAATTGGTAATTGGTAATGTTTTATTAGTCAGAGTCACAACATACTCTATCATTATACTGCTGATTGGAAATAAGGGAAAATTTTGAAAGAAAAAACAAGTGATACCAGGGGTGGAGCTAGATGTTGTAAACATTCGAGGCTCAGCCAATATTAGTGTCACCAAATGTCTCCCCTTCTTCCCTTCTCATGTTTTGTAAGGTCACAGGCACCTTTGACCACCAAATTCTAATCAGTTCATCGTTTAGTCCCAGTGGATGTTTGTGCCAAATTTAAGGCAATTCCCTCAAGGCGTTGTGACGATACTGTGTTCATGAGAATGGGGTGTAGCTACAGAGAGACAGAAGGACAACTCGTAAACATAATGCCTCCGGCCACGGCTAACACTGGTGCGGAGGCATAAAAAAACGAATACATACCTTGATGGGAATGTCTGTTTGGACACATCTAGTGAATTAAATACCAGACGAATTAGGGGAATAAATCTTACCCAACATGACCAAACAGTGATGATGTAATTTTACGAGCGATATCAAAGGGAAAACTCTCTAGTTTAAGTTTCACTCGTCTTCTTCTGGCTATACTCCATCACACTATCTTTACATCAGAAATATCATATCTCACACCTATTATACTTAATGTAAACACTTTCCAGTTCATCAGTACAGTCTTATTTTTTTGTCACATCCCCATTCAAGTCCTTCTGTTTAATTTTTTTGACTAGTATTAATAAACACAAACATGTATAAACATGTCTACATTACAGGTAGGATCTGGAGGATTTTCAAACAAAACAAAATATAGACATATACAAATGAAATCCTGCTTAATCATCACCTATGGGCGTCTACTCGTGTGTGGTGGTGACTCTGTTTGCAGAGCTCCTGCCCTTTAACTGTATTTTGATGTTTTTGTGAGCTCAGACCGCTTCTGGGTGGAGATTTCCCCAGCCAATGAGAGAGCACAGGTGCCATGCCCAAGCGTGTCCGAGCATGCACCAGCGCGAGCCTTGCCTGAACCTCTTCTGTGAAGCCTTCTTCCATACCTCCGGGCTCCGTACACCTGGGAGAGTTGAGCCTGATAGGAGGGGCCAAATTTGAATGTGTGTTTACAAACAGCAACTGGAAAATCCTCCAGACCCTACCTTTAATCTGTACGCAGCATTTTAATGTTGTAGTTGGTTGAGGTGGAGCAAATTTTAACCACTTTATAGACTGTTGGGTGGTTGAATCTATAACAGTGTGTCACCTTTCTTTAAACTAACCATGTGTTTTGTATGTAAAATCTCCACATGAAGCAGTAACTACAGCAGTCAGATCAATGAAGTGAAGTGAAAGTATAAAGTAACGCAGAATGGGAAAACTAAATGAAAAAACAAGTAGCTCAAAACATGAACTTGGTGAGATTAGACTCCACCAAAGCAACATCCTCATGCCCAGGCGTCCTAAAAGATGGAATTTTATCCTGCACACACAAGATAA